ACTGTGTGTACACGACACGAGAATCTCAACCATGACCACACGACCCTGCAAGAGAGACCAGCAGGCACTGCTGTGCACCTGCCACGCATTTGCTCTGTTATCTGCTGGAGCTTGTGACAGGCGCTAAAGATCGGGGAAAAACCTAAAATTAAATATTCCACCTACTAACTTAACTGATCTCTGAAAATTTAGGAAAGGCCATGCCAGTCCAACTTACAAAGCAGTAAAAGTTACACTATAATTTTAACCAGACACAGAATCTGCCCCATATAGCCCATCACCCCCTCAGATGGGGGCAGGTTTGTCTTTACAACACAGAGCAGGTAAGCATCTCCAGCAAAGACGTAGAGCAGGAGGAACCGTCCTACACTCACAGACGGATCTAAGAGTAGCCGCTGGACACCTCCCCCAGCCGGCCACTCTGCATCCTCAAGGCCCCCTTTCTTGTTTTTCTCAAAACTGTATAAAGACAAGACTGTCTCCGTTTTGTTCTCCCTTGCACCCTCAGTTCCTGGCCCAGCGCCTGCTGCATGTTGTAAGATGCCCAGGAATAAACAGCTGAACACACGGATGAAACATGGGAAAAAAAGCACAAGGCCTCGGGACTAGGCCTTGGAGAACTGTCCACAGCCAGGGGCGGGAAGTGACTGAGGAGGTGAATCGGGCAAGGACAGGAGGAAAGAGGGAGGACCCAGACACGGCAAGTTAACAGAAAGCAGCCCGCTCCCTGGGTAGCATCCTACGTGACATCGAGACAGAGGCCAGGGATGGAGTTCAGAGGCATGGGGGCCTTGGGAAGGCTGCTCTCAGGCCTGGTGGGCTCTGGAAAGGGAGACAGGAAGCCTCTCGGGAGGCCCAGTGTGAGCAGAGCTAGAAAGTCAACATTCCCAGGACCCTGTCCACCTTGAAACAAGTCCTGATGTCCCACTAAAGTGCCAACTCTCAATGACCTCTCAACAGAGGTTCTCAGATGCTGGCCAGGATCACATAGGAGACAGGGAAGGTCCTCTGAGGTGTGGGCCCCGAGAGAATTTGGCATGCACCGTGTGCAGTAGGAGGAGCATGCAGCCACTGGCCCCAGGCCCAGGGTGGAGGCAAGGAGGCAGGAAAAGAGCCACCAACTCTGCTGCTTCACTGCTCAGGGTCAGTCGGCTCCCTGACCAGGAGGAGGGCTGGAGAAGAGCACCACCCGGAGCCTAGTGACCATGCCACCCTGGACAGCTGCTGTCTCTTTGCCTCTCGGAGCCTCCATTCCTCATCTGTACAGTGGGTCAGCAGTGCCTCCCTTGTGGGTGGCAGTGAGGATTAAATGGGGAACAGAGGCACACTCAGCAGCACGCCTGGCACACAGCACACAGCAGTGCTGGTGGTTGTTAGCTGTTACCACAGTGATCACGCCTTTTCCTCCTGCAGCCAACAACCTGCAGCGAAACCTGGCACCTAACAGAAGAAAGGCAAATCCTAATAAACTGCCCCAGAAAATGAGCAAATGAGCAAAACCAAGTACCCAAGTACAGAGGAAGAAAAAGAACTTGGAGGAGTCGCTGTGGTGACCATGTGACAACCAGATAACAGCACAGGAAAGCTGCACACAAGCTATTCATTCACCTACAAGCACAAACTCTGCACGTCCATGTGCAAGGCTAGGGTGGAGGACAATGCAATGGATAAGACACACAGGGAACGCATCGTCTAGACGCATCTTGACTCAGGAGAATAAAACAACACAGAGAGTGCCTGAAGATAGTTTCCCTTTGAACTTGCCATTTACCAGAGAAAAGAACTTCAAGCCAGATGAGAAGAAACACTTGTAACTGTGGTGAAAGCACAGGTTGCTGGGTGCAGGCAGAGCCTGGCCTGGCCTCTGGGTCACTGATGTGACAGCTGATATGGCACCGTGGCCCTGGCTTCAGCAGGGAGCTCTAAAGCACACTGGGGACACAGGCACACAGTGTCCCCACTCCCACAGGGCACAGCAGGCATCATGTGGTCCCACAGACATCTCAGCGACCCTCAGGCCCAACATTCGTGGCAGACCTCAATGCTGTCCATCGCCTCCCTCTCTTGCTCTCGCCACTCCCCGGGCTCACAGGACGGGAGCATCACTCAGCAGCTTCCACCAACACTGATCCCCAAAGGAGCAGAGGGAAGAAACAAAGTTATGCCCACGAATTCATCTCTAACCCACTCCCAAGTCCTCTAGGATGTGAGCACATATACCACGACGGACCCTGCTGGAGGTCTCTATCACTCACGCGAAGGTTTGCAGGAGACAGGCTCAGAGGATGTAACTGCCTTAACCAAGCACATTTGACACCCACAGTGAGACAGTGAATGGGCTTGTGCATACTCAGCATGTTGCCTGAGGCCAATGCAGACCCACCACCCCAGGGCCAGAGCAGGGAGCCAAGCCAGACCTGAATGCATGTGACTTGTGGCAGAAGCTGCTCACAGAGAGCAGACACCTCTTCCTTCCAGCTTCCATAACCAAGACTCACCGATGGCTGTGTTCTGGAGCACAATCACCCAGGCAGAATCTCTGGGCGAAGTGTTCTTCTGACCCAAAGCCAGCCCAGACTACTCGGCTAAAACCATGCTGGGTATGTAGAAGAAACAGAAACCTTTCCTGAGAGGAAGGTTTCCAAACATACAGAGATCCAAAAGCACAGCATGCTTCAACACTAATAGATGCAGAAGAGCCCACAGTGGCTCCCACAGGTGCTGGGTGTGTGGCCACACATTGTATCGTCATTGCTTCAGGTGCCAGTGCTAATAAAAAAGGTCATTTTGATGACTCACTTGTTTGTGAAGCTGGAGAGAGCAATGTGAGCTCACGTACCTGTCTGAGGAACATGTTAGACAAGACTTCAAGGCAGGTAAGTGATCCTGATCCAGTTGTGATCATGAAGGAGCTTTGGGCCATGCTGGAGCAACGTGCCCTTCACCAGATAGCGCCCCCACCCCACCCCCAGCCACAGGTCACCTGCTACCTGGTCAGAGAAAGCTTGTAAGTTTAGGCCAAAAACAAGAGACCTGGAAACATACACACTTCTCAAGGCTTCTGACAACAAACAGGAAAAAGAAATATATGTATACCCCTCATGAGAAAAGCAGAAATCAAAAGCTCCTAACTATATGACTCTTCCAAAGAAGAGCAAATTCACAGCACTGAATCCTGAGAATCAACTGTTCCAGAGGTTCCGAAACCAAGTCTCCCTTAGGAAGCCTGAGTTTTCTCAGATTCACCAACTTCACCCTGATGAAGAGTGCTGGCCCTGGGGTGGGCAAGCTCAGACCCTGACCACAGAGACCCACTCCATGTGCTCTGCATGTATTAACCCCGAGGCCACCAGATACAGAGAGCATGTTCCACAGCCCAGATGCCCTCCCTTCTCTGCTCCATGCCGCAAGACACCTGCGTGGACCTGTAAGTGTATCCCAAGAGCACATGGAGTCTAAGAGCAAGCTCTTCTCACTATTTCTGGCAGATGGCCCTCCTGCTGGACCAGTCCACCGTGAGTCTCAGACATCTCAACTCAAATTTCCCTCCACATTTCACACAATAGCGGCTCCATTCATTCAGGGTGTCATAGGAAGTGTGGCAATGCACCACAGCCTGACAGAGGATGGAGGAGGAAGGAGGGTCCTGTCTCTCCAGCTCGTGGCTGTGTGCACACAGTTAGTGGAGCGAGCTAGTGGGGCTAAGATGACCCTTAGAAGCACGGATTAATGTCCTGGAAAACACTGTGCCCCTGATGAAGCCCAACCCCTCCCACACTCTTTTGAACATGCACAAACATGCACATCATCAGCCTCCCTGTAGTTGGGCTCGAGGAAGCAACGCTACCACTAGAAAAGCAACTTGATTGTTCATCTGAGCCTCACTTTCCCTCCCCCACCTAAAAATGAGCTTAGGGCTCTTCCTCTCTTGCCTGTGCAATATCTCTAGGCTGAGGCTAAGAGCACAAGCTTCAGGAGGTGGCACAGAGAGAACCTGGCGCTGCTGCCCATTGCCAAAGCTGTTCCAGAAGGAAGGGTATACACGTCAGTCCAGGTCATCCAACACCCCTGACAAGTCCTAAAACAAAAGGGAGGGAGTTGCCGTATCCATACCTTCAGCAGGTTACAGGCAAACAATTCACCAAACAGCAAAACTGTCTATTCAGAGCAGTCAGACAAGACTGAAATGAAGCGAAGAGTCTAGAGAACAGGGACCAGGGGAAGTAAAATTAGTCTGGTACGACGGCACTTCTAGAGCACGGGAGGGCCTTCAGAGCCTGGTGTTGACTTCTCACCAGTTCAGTTGGAATCAGCTCCAGTCCCTGGATCTTCTAAGGAAACACCCATTTGGCCTGGGGCCAATGCCACACCACACAGGGGATGCTGACCACACTGTCTCACTGATCCTACTAACAACGCTTTTACCTTAAATACCTAAGAAGCACGTTCAGGCAAACGCTTGTGAAGCCATCTATGTTGTGTATTTTACCCATGCAACTGGAAATTTTTAAAAAAATGTTTAATAACGTCATTATCAGGGTATTTCCTTCACAGGGACAAGGTGTTGATTCCCTGAGCACTAAGTGGACCTCTCAGAGGAACAGTGTACCCGCAAGGACCCTGCCACACTCGCAGCAGGGCCAGCGATACCTGCCAGAGCCACATCCCAGGCTCTGCCACCTGGACCCACAGTACCCGGCTGCCGCGACACCGGCGGGGACGCTGCCCGCGGGTCAGCGCGGCCGGGACGGCGGGCACCACGCAGCCGCCGATCTCCCGGGCTCGACCCTGCCCCCACGGCCTTCCGCGGCAGGCGGCGTGCGGAGCCGCGGCCTCTCCCGAGGCCTGGCGCCGAGTGCAGGCTGCGTCCCAGCGCCGCCCGCAGCCGCGGGGCCTCCGCTCGCGCGGAGACGGAGAGAAAGGAAGCGGCCCGCGGGGGCCAGGGCCTGCGCCGCGACCCCGGCTCCCCGCCGCCGCCCGCCCGCCGCCGCCCGCCTCACCATTGCTGTAGGCGTACGGGGACTCGGCCGCGCCGTCCTGCAGGCTCTCCAGGATCTCGCCCTTGCCCACGTCGCTGTCGCCCACCAGCAGGAACTTGAGCAGGTAGTCGTAGCTCTTCACCGGGCTGCCCTGCGTGCCCATCCTCGCGCCGCCCCGGCGCCCGCCGCCGCCGCCGCCTGAGGGACCGCGCGCGTCAGGGGCCGCGGCTGAGGAGGGCCGCCACCTCCTGGGACCGCAGGCCGTGCCCGCCGGGACCCGCGCCGCCGCCACCGCGCGCCCGCCCGCCCCCGTCCGGCTACCTCAGCTTCACCGCGCCGCCCGCCGCTTCCGCACGGCGCCTGGCCGCGCGCCGCGCCCCGCCGGCGGCGGCGGCCGCCCGTCCGCCCCGCCAATGGCGCCGCGCCCGCCCTCCCCGGCCCATTGGCCCGTCCTCCCATCCGTCACGCCCGCCCCGCCCCACCGTGTCCACCAACGGCGTTACGGAGCCTCCGGTCGCCCTGCCCTGCCTCCTCCTCGTCGCCATAGGTCGCCCGCTGCCCTCTCTCCCATGGCCATTGGCCCGTCCGCCCGTCCGTCATGACCGCTCCGTTTCCCACACAGCGTTGCGGAGACTACGGACTCACAGCATCGTCACCGTCGCCATTGGCCACCCGCCTCCCGCTTTCTCGGAACCATTGGCCTGCCTGCACGTCCATCAGGATTGCTACCGCCCCCACCGCTTCTTCCCGCAGAGCATCCCAGAGCCACCGGCAACCCAGCCCACTGGTCCACAACAGCTCTGCCCTCGTCCGCCCCCTCAGCGTCTCCATTGGCCACCACTGCTGAGCCATTGGACCGGCTGCACGTCGATCACAGCTCTGCTAACTCCACCCTCCTGGCCGCGTGCCTCCCGCCCCCTTTCCTATACACTCACCAATCAGGAGCTTGGAGCTCCAGGTTGTTTGCATACGCCCTCTTCCCTCCCCGGGCACGGAGTAGGTGGAGGCGTTCTCCGAGCTGAGGCGACGCGGCCGAGTCCAGGGAGACTAAAGCTCCTAGCGAGCTACGGCGACTGCCTTTGCAGAGAATCGGGGAAGGCAGCGTGGCGGTCCCTCGCCAGTCCTCCCTAGGATAGGACGGCCGATTGACGCTTGACTAGGCGGAGGAGGCGGGACTTCCGCCCGGAGCTGGGGAGAAGCGGGGACAGAGGGCGGGGCAGTGGCCCAGGATGGAGGCGGCGGGGAACTGGGCCGGGAGGGCGGGAGCGCTGACAGGGGCGGGGGCGGACCAGTTACCGGGGCGGAGTTCGGGCGGGGACCGGGAGCAGTGACTAGGGTCGGGGGCGGTGACCGGGCTGGGGGCGGTGACCGGGCAGTGATTGGGGGTGGGGTGGTGACTGGGGGCGGGGACAGGGGCAGGGCTGGGGGCGGGGCAGTGACTTGGGCAGTGATGGGGCAGGGGCAGTGCCCGGGGCGGGGACGGTGCCCCGGGCAGGGACTGGGGTGGCGGCAGGGACTGCGGTGGGGGCAGTGCCGGGGGCAGTGCCCGGGGCAGTGACTGGGGCGGGGGAGGGGGCAACCCCAGGGCGGTGGAGGTGCTGACGTTCCAGCGCAGGTGGCTTCGCCAGGACATCGGTGAGTGGGGCGGGCTGGCGGACGTGGCGAGCTGGACGCGGCGGCGCAGCCCCGGCCGGACCTCGGGATGCTCGCAGCGCTGAACCGGCCCTATGTTTGCGCACCTAGAGGTGCTAGAGACCAGCAGACTGGCTCTGTGCAGACCACCGCGCGGATGACGGGGATTCAGGCATGGGGAGGTCTGGTAGGGCCCTCTGAAGTGGGGGCACCGCCTCCATTGGGGTGGGGGTGGGGTCTCTTCATTGGTAACATTTTTTATGAGAACATATTCACACATGTGATTAAGAATGAGTAACTCAGCCGGGCGCGGTGGCTCACGCCTGTAATCCTAGCACTCTGGGAGGCTGAGGCGGGCGGATTGCTCGAGGTCAGGAGTTCGAAACCAGCCTGAGCAAGAGCGAGACCCCGTCTCTACTATAAATAGAAAGAAATTAATTGGCCAACTAATATATATATAAAATTAGCCGGGCATGGTGGCGCATGCCTGTAGTCCCAGCTACTCGGGAGGCTGAGGCAGGAGGATTGCTTGAGCCCAGGAGTTTGAGGTTGCTGTGAGCTAGGCTGACGCCATGGCACTCACTCTAGCCTGGTCAACAAGCGAGACTCTGTCTCAAAAAAAAAAAAAAGAATGAGTAACTCAAAAGGTCGTGCATAGCAGCGCCATACGACTGCAGCAATTCGGTACATGCGTGTCCACAGCAGCACCGCTCCCAAGATCCGAGGGTGGCGCGGTGAGCATGCAGTCAGCAGATGGATGGGTGCGCAGAACGCCCACGGTAGCTGCTGTGACTCATGCGTAAAAGGTAGGATGTAGTGATACACGAACGAACTTTGCAAACACACGTACTATATGAGTCCTTTTGCATAAAATATCCAGAATGGACATATCCACAGAGATAGCAGGTTAGTGGTTGCCCGGCTGGCAGAGAGGCAACAGGACAATGACCGCTTAATGTTTACATGGTTCTTTTTGGGGTGATGAAAATGTTCTAAAGTTGTAGTGGTCATAATACTTGTCAAAGTTGTTAAAACTCATTGAATTGTGCACTCAAAATGGATAAATTTTACATGCATGATATTCTTCAATAAAGCCGTTAATAATAACCAAAAGAATAACTTGTCAAAGCTGAGCCAAGCGCAGCCTTTGCCAGACCAAGTGCTGAGTGTTGTGTGTGGCCCCAGGAGAGAGGGCTCCCTGAGGGATATCTGTGCAGAAGGCACGATCCTGTCATTACAGTGACCACATCCCAGTTAGCACATCTCACCTCTCCTGCATGTGAGGACCAGGGCCAGGCAAGAACCCTCCCACTGAGGGGATCATTGAAAGCTGGCTGTGCCTCCAGGAGCAGGTGGTGTTCACACAGCAGGCCCCTGACGGGCACCCTCACCCCAGGTGATCTCCCACCCCGCTGGCTGAAGACCTGGCTTTGATGAGCAGCACACAGACACTTCAGTTTGTTTTGGGGGCAGTGCTTGGGGGCCTCTGTGAGGAGCCATCCCTCCGCTGGGTGAGGAGCACCTTGGAAGTGAGCACCTGGGCCTGCTCTTGCCTTTAGGAAGAGACCTTCCTAGCGTCCTGGCCAGGGATGGGCAGAGCAGGGGCTACTGGGTTCAGGCAGCCAGAGAGAGCCACACTGAGGCCACTAGGCAGGGCCTAGTGCCTCTGCTGCTACTGCTTTACTGCAATCCATGAAGGAACCCTGAAGGTCCTGCCTGTGTATTCCTCAGGCCACGTCCTCCCATGGGAGTGGCCATTCCCTGGACACTGGGTCACTGCAGACATGGCCACCTACGGTAACAGCAAGGACACACAATGTCCACAGCCTGACAGCTAGCTGGGCAGAGTCTTGTCCCTCAGCTTGTGGAGGGACTAAGGACCAAGTGCCCAGAAGGACCAAGGACTGAGTGTCCTAAATCACAACCTGGCAGGTCAGGGAGGGCCTCTCCTGCTGAGAGGTCACTGTGCCTAGACTTGAGCCCAGCCTCTGCCCCCACCTGGCTGTTCCTGCCCTTTCAGCTGGCTGTGAGCTCCCTGAGGCCGCTCTCTCCAGGGGCTGTAAGCAACAAAAGAACAATGCTTCCTCCATGGTTTCTCAAGCTGCCTGGAAGGGATAGTAGTGAGGAGCTGTCTCTCTAAAGCAAACATGCCCTTTGACCCTGCTCAGGGTATACCTTGGCAGGTACCCAGCAGCTGCAAGCCACGTTCCCCACCTCCCAGGATGAAGGTGGGGCCCCTCCCTCACTGGCAGGGAAGCTGGGCTCTTCCCACCACAGCCTGTGGAGCCATCACAGCCATCTTCACTGTGTAGGTCAGGACTTGTGGTTTGGCTTCAGGAACCTATCCACAGAAGCCTCCTGTCTCCTCTGACTTTTGACCTCCCAGCCTCGGAGCCTAAGGGCACGGCAGGCACCCAGATGGGTAGGGGCAGCAGGCCCAGCGGGGGAAAGATGGGCAGAGGAGCTGACCCCCCCCCCCCCCCCCCCCCCCCCGTGCAGCTGTAAGCATTTCCAGGAGGGTGTGGGGGGGCACGGTGTGCTACGTGAGAACCATCAAACCCAAACCAGGGTGATCCTCCAAGTAACCAGCTGCATCTCTAAAGCCTCCCTATTGTGAAAGACATGTCACAGCAGGAGGCATTTACTGGACGCCTAGGGGCGAGGGGCGGGTGAGTTAGGCAGATTGGATGAGAGCATTACATCAAGGTTGAAGGCCTGATTTTGGTCACTACGCTGTAGTTTTGTAAGTTAGTGCCCTTGTCCTTAGAAAATGCATACAAAACACTTTAGGCGTAAAATTAGGCACAACTGACTGAAATTCTTCAGAAAAAAAATTGAGTAAGAATATGAGAAAGCGCATGTGGCAAAATGTTAATAATCAGGCATTGGGTGAAGGGTACTGGGAAATGCTGTGTTATTGTTACAGTGTTTCTCTAAGTTACTTTGAAGGGTGTTTTCAAAAACCAGAGGAAGCCAGGAAGCAAGTGTGGAGTCAGACCTGTCCTACCGTGTGGCCTTCAGCAAGTCACTGTCTGTCTCTGAACGTGTCTCCTTACTGAAGCACTGACAAGACTGTTCTCTGCAGGTGGCCTAAGGGTCAGCATGTGGCTCTGGGCAGGCCTGGCCTTGGAGAAGTTCCAGCATGAGGCTGCCAGGTCAGCGTGGCAGGGGGTGGCCCCACAGATCCAGGCTGTCTCCAGGCAGGGGCAGCACAAGTCTAGGGACAACAAAGGGCAGTGAGGACGGGAGAGGCCTGGGAGGTGCAGGTGGCATCTCTCACTGGCTGCAAGTGCCTGGGGTGACCAGTGTTCCCTTGGCCAGCTCTGGTGCCAGGCCCAGCTGGGCAGCTGGAGGGTGAGGGGGAATCCAGGTAGGAAGAGAGTCCCAGGAAGTCTGAGTTGGAGGCCTCTACACTTGGGGCCATGAGCCAGCGTGGGGCAGACCTGCAGGGGGCCCCTAGCATTACAGGTGATGGAGACCATTCTCAGCAGATGCCGTACAGGTGCAATCCCTGTGGCCAGGACCCATGGGGGCTCTCTGGGACTCCCCAGCCAGTCTCCACTGACCTTCAGTGGAAGCACAAGCCTAGAAGCTGCTGAGGGACCTCCCTGGCTCTAACCTGTCTGCATAACCAGGACAGCGAGCACTGAGGTGAAGCCACAGGGGCCCCGGAGGCTACAGGACAGCTGGGCCAGTTCAGTCCAGGGAGTGCCCCACACTCATAAGAGCCAGGAACAGTGTGCCCCTCCCCCAGGAGGCCTGCCCCCCTGTCCCCAGATCCCCTACGCCAGGGGAGAGGCCACGACTGGAGGGCATGCAGCCCTAGGCCTGTCTGCCCATGTCAGGACATCTTTGAGGGCCCAGGGCCCGCACCCACCCATCAGACCTGCTTCAGGGGGCCTCCAACAGGAAGCAGGCCGTGGTAGTCAACTCAGGACACCCAAGTGAGAAGGCCCGGCCCTCACCGGTGGTGCCTGTACCCCACCCGCACCCCAGACCTGCTGCCCACAGGCAATGGGGAGGCTGAGCAGGGAGGCTAAGCCTGAGCTCTGTCACTGGGAGGTTTTATTGTCACAGCAGTGAAAGGTGGGGTCAGAGCCCGTCCCCACCTACACCCTCTGCTGGGTGCTAAGGGTCACTGTGGCCTGCAGCAAAGCAGCACTGGAAGTGACGGGCAGAGCAGACGGTCCTGCGTGCTGAGGTGGACGGGGCTGGCTGCCTACTGCCCACAGCACAGACGTTTCCACACAACCTGGCACCTTCAGACTCCCCACCAGTGACGGGGCTCACATGGGAACACCCACCCCCAGGCCATGCCGAGTCTGGCAGGCAGACATGGTCCCAGGACCGGGACCACTTCCCCAGGGGCTGTTACACCCTTGGGCCACAGAAGTGTCTGCCCAGGAGGGGGTTCCTCTTTCTGAGAGAAACCAGTGAGGGTACATGGAAGATCTGGCCAAAGGGCTGTTCCCACAGGAATGGTGCAGCCAGGTGGGCAGATGGTTTCCAACAAGGCAGCTATGGCCACCATGTGGCCAGGCATCAGGCAAAGAGACGCCCCGTGGTCTGTTGGTGGCTCCTTCACAAAGCAATTCCTGCAGGAATCCTCAGCAAAGAGACGCTGTGCGGTGCAGGGTGTGAGGGCCTGGCCCACTGTGGCTGCAGCAGGCGTCGGTGGCTCCTGCAACCCCAGGGGTGGGGCACCGCGCTGCAAGGCCGAGGCCGCTGGAAGGCACCAGGACCCAGGAGTGCATCCTGGGTGCACCCCCACCTGATGGCAGGAGCCATGAGAGAGCTGGCACAGCCCACTGGGAACCACTGCAGGGTGGACCCTCCCGGCGTCTGGTATGAAGGACAGGGTGGGGTGGCACTCCTGGGCATCAGCCTAAGAGTGTGGTGACCACAGCAGGTCAGAAGGTGGGTCCCAAGGTAGGTGGTGCTAGTGACAGAGCACGGCCAGGTGGCCTGGCTAGCCACCCCCTGCTTCCTGCTCACCCCCAGATGACTTGTGAGTTGGGTGGAAGTGTGGCAGGCAGGGCTTGGGCAGGGCCTGTGCAGGCCCCAGAGAACCAGGGGCAGGGACAAAAGCACGGCCTGCCCACGCTCAGGAGGCTGCAGTGAGGGGTGCACTACCCCTGCAGGCAGTCGGCGCCACCCTGGCTGAGTGGGGGCTGACCAGGGCTGTGTGGCGGTGCTGGCTGGGCTGGCTGCCAGGCCCTTCAGTCCTGCTTGTCCTCTCTCTGCCTCCAGGGGTAGATGAGCTCCCCGAAGAACAGCTTGCGGCACAGGGAGCCCCAAGAGTGCTTGGGGTGGCAGCCACAGCTGGGGAGGCGGTAGGTGTCCACCACGCGGCTGAAGGGCAGGGGGTTTATCTGGAAGGACGAGGACAGCAGTCAGAGGGTTGGCTGGGGGTGCTCTAGCCTTATCTGCAGAGGGAGACTAGGGTGTGGGCACTCTGTGCCTGGCTGGCAGTCTTGGGGGTCCCTGAGTGGGCAGCTGTAGGCAGGGCCAGCTCTATCCCAGACATCCCCACCCCTATGGTCCGAGTCCGGCCCAATTTCCAGGGAGGCAGGTGTGCACACAACCTGTACCCTGGAGGGTAGCTCAGGCCACGGCCCAGGTGGCTCCACGCTCCAGAGCCAGCGCCCACTGCCCGCTGGCTCTGTGCAGACTGGAGGCGGGCAAGGCAGAGGCAGGGGAGCTGTACTTGCCCAGAGGGCTGCCCTGAGCAGAAGCCGACTCCTCGGGCCCTGCCATGTGGACACGTCCTCCACAGGACTCACTCCACTCCCAGAGCCTCCTTGGAAAGGACTGGGCTTGCAATGTGCAAGAGAAAACCATGCGGGGCCCTGGCCACCTCACCATCTAAGAGATGCTGCACTGGGGGCTCCGGGCTGGCCTGTGACAGTGACCATCACCCAACTTGGCCCCTATAAGTCACCCCAAAACTCGCCCTGCCCTCTACCACAGGGACCAGACCCCTAGAACCGTTTCAGATAAAGAAGCCAAACAGTCCAGGCCCCTCAGGAGACACCGAGTGTCCCGAGGCCTTTGCTAAGTCAGTTCTGCTCCACCCAGAACTCCAGCCCCACCGGGCCCAAGACAGGAGACCAGACACAGGGCCGACAGGGCCACCCAGACAGCCAAGGGCATCTCTGACACAGGACAGAAGGGGACCCCGTCCATGGGCTGGGCCAGCACCCTGCCACGAAGACCACAAAGGGGTTCCAGGCAGTGGGTCACGATGTTCAGAGGCCTGGGGGTGGGGGGCTTCCCTCTGGACCCCAGGCTGGTGTGCACTGCCCAGAACCCACCCAGCTGATGCCAACTGTCCCAGAACATGGGCTGCAGCGTGGCGGTCTGGGACACTGGTGGCAGTGTGAGGGGGACAGGGAGGCCTTACCTGCATCAGGAGGCGGAGGGGCCTGCCAGCCTGGTGCTCCAGGACACGGAACTTAACGCCGGCTGCAAGGAGAGTAAGGTGCTTACGAGGGCAGGCAGAAGCCCCCACCAGGGACCCCACAGGAAGCCCTGATGGTTCTGTTCTGCATGTCAGCAGAGGCTGGCGTGGGCAGAGGCCCTGTGAGGGCAAAGGGTCCCTGGTCCCTGAGCAGGATGCCCACGGCAGCAGGCCTGCCCGGCTGGCACACACACCCCTGTCCCCACCCTCCTCTGCCTTTTGTGCTGGCTGCCTGCCCTAGATCAAGGCCTCCTGCAGAACTTCACTTAACAGAAGCCAAGAGCCCCGCAAGCAAGGAAGAGCCCCCCAGGTGTCAGGAGGGCCCGGGCTAGAGCTGTTTTCTGGGTGGGCCCTGGGTTTTCCAGCAGAGTGGATTGGGATGGCAGCTGCCCTACTGGCATCTTAACGTTCCCTGTGCTCGGCCGACTCAGGCACCCACCACACCCCTGGCCTGCATGCAGGCTCCCAAGCCCAGGCAATCCCCAAGGCAGAAGTTTCTTGAAAAGAGAAGTAGGAGCTAATGATCAATTGATGGAGGGCAGCAGCAAAAAGAAAAAAAAAAAAGAAAAAAAAACTGATGAAGAGGCCCAAGGTGAAGTCGGAGGAGGAGGAGCAAGGAGGCAGCATCTGCGGCCTATCCAAGAGGTTACAGCAGGCTGCCGACTTGTGTGGCGGCTGCTAGGGGCTTCCTCTCCACGGCCTGGTCCCTTGTGCTGAGGCGTGAGTGGTGGTGGGGGCCGAGCAAGTGTGGGTCCCTAGGCAGGTGAGTCCCTGGCCTGGGCCACTTGGGGGCTGGCAGGGAAAGTGGCTTGGAAAGATGTTCCCTGAAGAGGGTTTGTGGGCATCCAGTAGGTGGACGTTGCCCAGTGGGGACTCTGGGACAGAACAACACCTGCCCACCAAGGAGGCAGGCGCAGGCTCTAAGCCGACAGAACATTCAGGTCCACACCCTCCAGCTCAAGTTGGCAGGGAGCAGCCACCACGAGTACAGTGCAAGCTGCCCAGCTGCCTCTGGAACACAAGGCCACCTGGGCATGCTGGTCACCTTGGAGCACAGATGCAGATGGTGGCTATGCCAGGAAATCCCCAAATCCCCTGATATGTCCACAGCCCCTGAGCCAGATGGGTTGACTCACAACCCAGTGACCTGTGGGGACGGCCTCCCCCGAGGCTGAGGTCAGCACGTAGCACCACAGCAGTGGGCTGGGGCAGGGATTGCTGGGGTGGGGTTTGTCCTAGTAACAGTGGGGGATGCTCCTGTTACACTGGGTCTGGCCAGCCCAGCGGTCCCCTCCAGAGCTGAGAGGCACCATCCGACACAGCCCCATATAACCACCCAATGAAATCACTCTACACCAGTTCAGGCAACACCCACGCCACCCCATGGGTAAGGGCAGGGCGAGCCACCTCTGTGGTCTCGGATCTGTCTCTGAACCTGTGCACCAGGTGGGTGCTCTCCCCCACCTCACTGGAGGCAACTGGTCCAGCAGATGTCTTCCCTGCCCGCCCTCCCCACGTGCACCCCGCTCCCAGGCAGGATAAACACGCAGCCAGCGCAGTTAGTGCTTCTGCAGGGACTGTGGGCGCACACTCCCGCCCGGGCTGGCCACCCAGCACATGGCACTTACCGGCCAGCCTGTAGGGCCGGCAGAGCCGAAGTCCAAGTGAGTACAGCGGCAGGGAGTTGACGAGGTCCACGAGCAGACGGATCAGGCCCTGCACAGCCACCACCAGGAGCCGGAGCTGCGGCACAGGCAGCGCTCAGGAGCAGGCCACACGGGACATGCCCGTGAACAGAGTGGCCACGGGGTGTGGAGCCGTGACCAAGGGAAACCCGGGCTCCATGGCCCTGGGAAAGCGTAGAGCCCACCCTGAGAGTGCACAGAGCCTGCCCTGAGGCCCCAAACCTAAGGCCCAAGGACCCAGGAGGCATGGGGACATGGGAAGAGCTGGGGGCCAAGGAGGAGACTGTGCAGCCCATAGCCCCCACACAGAGGGATTGAGGCTTGGGGGGCCTGGGCCTCTGGGGTGCTGCTCTCCCACTGTTGCCTGGCAGCCCCTGGCAGCAGGGGGAACCTCCATGACCCACCCACCCCATGCACCCAGCCTCCCGCTCCAGAGCAGTGAGTGGTCTTGCCCCCAGGGTGGGGCCCCTGCCCACTCCAGGCCCAGCACACACTGGCCAGAGGGTCCAGAGCAGCCACACCACGACCTGCAGGGGTAGACGGCTCACCCCCCGGCTGCCTGTCACACAGGCAGAGCTGGAAGTGACCACTCCAAGATCATGGGACGTGCTCGGCTCACCAGGGTGAACACCAGGTAGTACAGGGCCGTGGTGGGCAGGAGGAAGACGAGGACGGTGAAGAGCAGAGTCCCAATGAACAGCTGTGGGCAGAGGGGCCAGCGCCCGGCATCAGCGAGACTCCTGCGCTGGCACTGCAGCCCGCTGCCCGCCCCAGCCCACTCATAACTGCAGCCAGGACCCACCCACAGTTTTCACCAGGAGGGTCACATGTCCACCTGCCCCACGGACTCAGCAAGTGTGGGCAAGGGGGTCGGGGGTCAGACCAGCCAGAAGGGTGTGCAGCCATGCACAATGTCACAGACAAAGCGCCCTGGACGGCAGTGCCCAGAGGCTGTGGGTCAGGTGTGAGCAAACCAAGGGAATGCCCGGAGCCCATCTCTGCTGGGTCACCCCCAGGGCCTTGGCCCAAGTCACCTTCTCCCACCCAGGGAAGGTCTGCACCACCTGTGGCCCTCGGTGTACCCTTCCACTACAGACTCCGCACCTCCCCCGAGCCTGTGGTGGGTGGGGTGAGTGGCAAGACAGGAGCTGTGTGGCACAGCCAGCTGTACAGGCCAGGGCAACAGAGCTGCTGGCAGGACCGAGGCTGGGGCCGGCAGCCACACAACTACGCCAGCTAGTAGGAGCCGGGCACCCCTCCCACCACAAGCGCTGCCAGTACCTGGTCCAGGTCATAGGAGCAAGAATCCACCCGCTGGCGCAGTACGTTCCACTTCTTCCCCCGAAACAGGCGCCAGAGTGAGGACAGGCCATAGACCTTCAGGCAGTACAGCCTGCAGGGTGCGGGCACCGTCAGGGCTGGACCCAGCGGCCGAGCCCTCCCCCGCGCAGCCCCAGAGCCCGCTGTGCATCCAGGGCTGGGAAGGCCACACTCGGCCAGTGCCCACGCGAGGAAGCACGTCGCACCTGGCGCCGTAGACATAGAAGCAGTAGATGTGGAAGGTGAGGAGGGCAATGATGTCCGAGAGGATGGACAGGGCGACCGTCAGGCCCAGGCAGGCGGAGAGACCCACGTGCCACAGGATGCGCTCGATGAAGGGGGACATGAGGTGGATGTAGCCTGGCAGGGTGGGGGTCAGTCCTGAGGGCGCCCAGTGTGGTCCTGGGACCCCCCACTCCTCACTGGGGATGGTGCCTGAGGCCCTGGACACAGAGTGCACAGGCCCCAGCCCAGCAGGCCTCAGGGGATACCAGGAGGGCAGGGGGAGGGGACAAAGGGGACAGGCCTGTCTGGGTCCCACTGTCCTCCCCTGCCAGGGTGTGGGTTTCTGGGGCACAGCCTGCAGGAGCAGGGGCTGCTGGGGCCCTGTGGCCCCGCAGGGCACTCACTGATCCACAGGTGTATGTGGTACAGGAAGAAGCGGCCCAGCACCTGGTCCAGTGCCCGGTTCATCTTGAGCCCGGCGGGGGCGCCCATCAGCCACTGCAGCAGATGCTGGAGCTCCTCGGCCACGTGCTGCGAGGACACAGGAGGGGCACGTTCAGAGGGAGTGGGTGGCCACAGTCATGTCTGCGTCTTCCCAAAGTCGCCCATAACCGGGGCTCCCACCCTGGCCCGTCTGCGTAGGCAGGGCGAGGCTGGCTGGGCTTCCTTCCTCCAAGTGTCTGGACGGCCGACTCCTAACGTGGATGGGCACAGCGTTTCCTAAGCCTGTCTGGCCATGGATCTCTCTTTGCAGATGGCCTCTGGGGTGCAGGTCTGAGGGGACTCTAGTCTGGAGACCTGTCCCAAGTGGCACAGCTGCGAGGCTGACAGTTTGCCCCTGGCCTGCTGGACGCCTGGCCCTGATGGGTGCCGACCTCCACTGAGAGTGTCATCCTCCCTCCTGCCACGGGACCCACAGGAGCCCCCAGCTGCCTGGACATGGCAGGAGCTGGACAGACCCACCTCAAGTGCTGTAAGGGAACCTGTGCCACAGGCCCCACCTGCCACCAGAGGGAAGGACAGTGCCAAGTGGGGGCCCAGGGACCCTTTAGAGCAAGCAGGGAGCTGGGTCCTGGCTACCCCAGGAAGAAAGCCAGTGTGTGCCGTGCTGTCTGTGCTGGCCCTGAGGGACCCTCGTCCTGTTGCCAAAGCGCAACGCAACAGGAACAACACCTCTGTCCCACCTCCTCTCCCTGCCCTGTGCTGAGGCCTCAGCCACACCAGCACCAGCAAGGAGGAGAACAGAACGTCCTTTATAAATAGAGCTTATTTAATATTTAAAGGAAAAGAGCTTGGCAGCAGGAAGAGACTTTCATTTTTAAATTAAATATTTATATATCAGAGCAATTTTGCAAAAGGGAGGTCTAGGACGGAGCTGGTCAAGCAGAGTCGGGGGTCACGAGAGCAGCAGCTGAGCCCACCCTGCCGAGCTGCCCACCCTGCCGAGCTGGGCCTCTCCATGTTCCGCAGCCCAGGAGGGGGAGGCACCTGCTCCCACCCAAGTGCTGGCCCAGGGCACACCTGCAGCCTGCATGCTGACAGCAGGGCAGAGGCCTGGCCCACGGCGGCCATCCAGCCAGGCCTCAGGGAGGTCCCCTCTGGAGGCCTGAGCATGGGCTAGAGGGCCAGAGGGACACCCTACACAGGAAGAGAAGCTCCTAATGGAAGAGACGGAGACCTGACTCTGAAGAAGGGAGATGGAGCAGCGGAAGACTTGGTGGCAACATGGATCTCGGCAAGGTGGATGCTGGGAGAGGAGGACAGAAGGGGCTGGAGGTGCCGTATCCAGGCTCCAAGCGAGGCATGGATGGTGCCGGGGAAGGTTGGGAGCATAGGAGACATGTGGAGTTTCCGGCTCTCAGCACAGGAATCACAAAATCAATGCTGTGAGTGTGTGACCCACTCGCAGGTGGGGGATGAGAGCTCAGCTGCACACAGACAGCCCCAGACACAGGGCAGGCTCCCCCAGCACTGACTCTGCAGAGGGCCTCGCAGAGCCAGGAGAGGACTGATCATGGGGTGGGGAGGCAATGGGAGCAGCGTGAGAGTGGGCCCAGCAGGGAGAGAGGGCCACCTCTAAAAGCCTCAAGCACACTGGCCCCCAGGGGTCCCCTGCCAGTCACAGGCCCCAAGGAACCTGCTCTAGGTCAGGGATAAGAGCTCCTGTCCCAGAGGCCACGTGTGCAGAGCATGGAAAGCAAAGAGCTGGCTTTGGAAAAAGAACTGCTCTGGCCCAGTAAGGGTCCACACCCCAGAAAACCAGGCTCCACCCCAGCCCACTCACATCAGCTACCGGGACGAGGGCATCAGCCAGCTGCCCAATTCGGTTCTTCCCGTGGAGCCAGGAGAGCAGTGCAAGGCCGAGGGCCACGTCCAGGAGCACAGAGATGAGTGTGTTGGCCTTCCTGGAAGGGGGGCCAGCCAGAGGGGGTGTGAGGGCAGCCAGCAGCAGCCTGGGCCATGGGGGGCCTGGCCGGAGGGGGCGTGAGGGCAGCCAGCAGCAGCCTGGGCCATGGGGGGGCCTGGGGCCGGAGGGCCGTGAGGTCAGCCAGCAGCAGCCTGGGCCATGGGGGGCCTGGCCGGAGGGGGCGTGAGGGCAGCCAGCAGCAGCCTGGGCCATGGGGTGCCTGGCCGGAGGGGGCTTGAGGGCAGCCAAGCAGCAGCTTGCCATGGGGGGCCTGGCCGGAGGGGCGTTAAGGGGCAGCCAGCAGCAGCCTGGCATGGGTGCCTGGGCCGGAGGCGTGAGGCAAGCCAGCAGCAAGCTGGGCCACGGGGGGGCCTGGCCGGATGGGGCTTAGAGACAGGCCAGCAAGCGCCTGCCACGGGCCTGGCCGGAGGGGCCGTCGAGGACCAGCCAGCAGAGCATGGGCCATGGGGGGCCTGCCGAGGGGGCGTGTGGGCCCACAGCCAGCAGCAGCCTGGCCATGGGGCCTGGCCGGAGGGGTGTGAGGACAGCAGGCAGCAGCCTGGGCCACCCGGGGGGCCTGGCCGTGAGCGGGGGGTTTGAGGGACAAGCCAGCAGCAGGCCTTGTGGCCCACGGGGGGGCTGGCCGATGGGCGTGAGGGACAGCCAGCAGCAGCCTGGGCCACGGGGGGCCTGGCCGGAGGGGGCGTGAGGGCAGCCAGCAGCAGCCTGGGCCATGGGGGGCCTGGCCGGAGGGGGCGTGAGGGCAGCCAGCAGCAGCCTGGGCCACCGGGGGCCTGGCTGGAGGGGACCAGGCGCCAGGCCTGGTGCAGAGTGGGGATGGCGGAGAGGCTGGGCCTGCAGCACATCCAACCTCATGGAGGAGACCCAGGGCGGCCGCACCTCATCCGCTCGGTGGGGTCCTTAGCCTTCTGCGTGCTGAAGACCAGGGTGAGGTGCTCTAGCCGGTGCCGTAGCTGCTCACAGGTGGAGAGCTTGCTCCCAAGGAAGGACAGAGGCCACAGTTTGAACACTCTGCGAAGAAGGAATGGGGGAGACGGGCGCTGTGCTCAGCCCTGGCTCAGTCTTCCCACCCCCCAGTGCCTCCTCCCATGCAGAGAGAGGGCTGGGCAGGGAGGCAGCTGGGAGGGGCCCAGATGTGGCCCAGCAAGGAGGGGCAGGTGGGCGGCCAACTTCACTGTGCAAGCACCTAACCCAGAACCTGACCTCCTCACACAGTGCTGCCCCAGCACACCTCCACTCACCAGCAGACTTCCAAAACTAGGGGCCAAGGTGGTACCGCAAAAGTGGGGAGAACACAACCTCCCACCACCAGGTACCTCACCCTGATGGATGGGGGCCCAGAAGGCTCGGCAAGGCTTTCCCAGACCCGCCTCGCTTCCCGGCGAGACTGGATTTCTCACGAGGCAAAGGAAGCAGAGATGCTTCTGCAGAATTCTATAGGCCAAGGGGAAATGTTTGCAAGCAAAGGCAGAAAACTGCCCAGTTGCTGTGCTCAGAGACCTCACTTTCCCTTCCAAGGCCTTGCTGGAGGCAGGAGGCACCTAAAGGACTCACAGAGGCCAGGCGTGGTGTGCAACCTATAATCCCAGCACTTTGGGAGGCTGAGGCGGGAGGATCACTGGAGACCAGGAGTTCAAGACCAGCCTGGACAACTTAGTGAGACCCTGTCGCTACAAAAAAAATAAGAAAACAGCCGGGCATGGTGGCGCCTGTAGTCCCAGCTACTCGGGTGGGAGGGTCGCTTGAGCCCAGGAGTTGGAGGCTGCACCATGGCACTCCAGCCTTGGTGTCTCAAAAATAAAATAAAAGGGGGCCTGGTAGAAAGTGCAGAACTACCACCAACTGTGTGCTTAGAATCTTGAGAGGAAGAAGGTCTTGACCTCGGAAGTTTAAAGGCTTTCTCTTCAATGGGGCAGCTTGGAACCAACTCCAACAATGAACTCTGTTCAACAGGCCCTCCCCCTTCACCAACGCCCACTCACACTGGCCACGGCGAGCCCCTCCCTCGCCCATGCAGTCGTCTCCCCAAGGCTGCAGACCGGCCCTGGACGGCCCAGGCCCCCAACAACACCCCTTGAGCGGCCCAGAGAACACACAAAACCATGAGGGGCTGAGGGGACCTCGCTGCTGCGGCGACCGCCACACCTCTCGTGAGTGTCACAGCCTCACAACCGCCAACCGGTCAATACCCAACACCGTTATGTGGGGCCACAAGCAGTTCTTAACCTTTCTTGGGTCCTTTGAGAAGTGGACAACAGCTAATGACCTTCTGCCACCCAAACTGCACCTGGACGCAGACACACACCATCACCTAATTAGTTCCAATGCCATCGAGGAACCTCCAGCCACCCCTCTCATCAGTGTCCCCAGCAGTGCCCATGACACAGGTGCTGTCCACCCAGAGCCGCCCAGGGCCCTCGCCCGAGGCCAGTACCCAAGTGTTCCCAGAGGCCCTAGTGAGCGGGCAAGGCCCGTCCCCAAACCTGACAGTGCTGATCCCTAGACCTGGGGGGCAACCGAGGGTGACCCAGGGCTGCTCCCACAGGCACGGCCACCACGGAGAGAGGACCCCCCACAGCCCAGCCCTCAGGCCCACCGTCCCTCAGCCAGGACGCCCGGATGCTGCCAGTGCCCCCCACAGCCCTCGGGCCTTCACAAACCCCTCAGCAAGGAGCAGTCCAGGTGATTCCACAGAGCAGCTGAGCTCAGGGACGCCCACTCCACGCCCCGGCCTTATGCGAGCATGTCTCTTGCGAATGTGCACTGAGTGCCCAGATGCCTGTGGGGTGTCGAGGTTGGGGGCGCCTGTATGCCCACAGGACAAATGACTCCCAGGGCAGGGCAAACACTGGCCTCAGGGCAGCAGTGACCCAGGTCTGTGATCATTTGCTTTCTCCTTCAGGGGCCCGAGCCATCTGAGGTTCACCCATACTCCTACCTGGTGGGCCCCATGTAGTCACTGAGGCTGCCAGGAAACCTGGCTGTACCCCAAAAGTGAGGGACAAAGCTGCAGTCACTCCTGGGGCATCCTCCTCCGTGCCAGGATGAGAGCCAGGGCTCAGGGTGGCCAAGAGCCTCAGGAAAGGCCCATCTGCAGGCCCCCACGCTCCAGGTAGACTGAGGGGTAGGCCTAGGGCTCTTGGGGGCTGCCACTTTGCCATGTCCTCCCCAGCCCCAGGGCACCTACCGGCAGGCACCGGCAGCCGAGACCAGCGACAGCAGGCACGCCAGCAGCAGGCACACGGGCCCCGAGGCCCGCTTGGCCAGCTCCACAAGGATGCTGGCCTCCACACCCTCCGACTGCCAGTGGCTCAGCCTCACGGGGCGCTCGTCAAACCGGTCACTGTGGAAAAGCAACTCGCTGCGCGCCACTGTGTCGAAGACGGCGGCCAGGCCACCAGTGCTGGCTGTGGCATCTCCAGCCTGGCGGTCTGGCAGGGCTGCAGGTGGGTGCAGCTGGGACAGGAGCACCTTGCGCTGGTCGTAGAAGATGAGCATGACCTGGTCCTCACTGGCAGCCCCAGGGGTGGCAGGCGCCTGCCGGTGGGTGGCCTTGCAGCTCCAGAACTTGCTGCCCCTCTCCCGGCACAGCTGCAGCCAGGGTTCGTGGGGGAAGACGGCACCCAGGCCCTCCAGGAAGTGGCCCAGGCTCTCCTCGGGCTCCTGCCGGCAGTGGCACCAGGTGCCCAGCACTGCCACGCCCACCTGGCTGGACTGCTGCACCTGGGCCAGGAGCTCCTTGACCTGGATAGGGATGAAGGGAAAGTGCACCACAGCCAGGACCACGGCACTGCTCTGCTCCGGGACCCACCGTCCCACCAGCAGGCCGCTGTCCGCAGAGGCACAGCACGTGGGGAAGAAGGCCTTGAGCACCATGCTGGGGACCCTGCAAGACAGGGGGAGAAGCTTAGTTCAGAGCTGCTGCTACAGCCAAAGCCAGGCCCCAGTGGCCCAGGGTGGCTGGCAGTGCCACGCCCACAGGACGTAGCACAGACAGCCCTGAGGATGCGTCCACGTGGCCACGGGGCTCACAGCTTTGGGCTTGGTTGTGGAGGCTGGTGGGGGCCCTCCATCTCACATCTCCATCTCACAGGGGCCACACTCCTCCAGGGGACTGGCTGGCCAGAGCAGGGCCCACACCTCTGCCCAAGACACACGGGTCACCCTCACGAGGCAGCGAATGCATATCCCATGGCAGGTCAATGATTTCACCTGTTTCCATACAAGCAGACTAGAACAGGCTGGGGTGAGTGACCTGCTCAAAACACCACCCAAAAAGGGCATGTGGGCTGAACGTGAGGATTTCATTTTGCTTTAAGGACCCTGATTAGAAAGGTTTAACGTATAGTGCATGGGAAAATGCTCAATCACATTAAAGCAATGCAAATTGAAGCTTTAATGAACCATGATTTACTTACCAAGCTAGGAAGAATAACGATGCAAATTTAAAATGAAGTGTTGCTGGCCTGAGGGAAACTACCTGTGTGCACATGGCCGGCAGCTGCCCCAGAAGGTCCCTGGGGACCAGCCTGGAGCCCATTCGCTGGCCTGGGGGAGGCTCCCTCTCCATGGCAAGAAGGATGAGCACGTGCCGCAATGCTCAGGGAACAAGCTTAGAGCAAACAAGGCTTCCGCCTCCACTCTGGCCCTGCATCCTCCTGCAGTGCCCGGACAGTGCCCACCCTTCCCCCATCTCCACCAGCCACCCTGGGTGGGGTTCCCTGCAGGGGAGCGTTTTCTGTCCTTCAGGGTGTATCTCTCCAACCACATAGCCATCTAGAAATGCAGTGGGAGGAGTTTACCAGCCCAGAGGCATGAAGGGACCCTGCCGTGTCCTCTTGGGCTGAGGGGACACCAGCCTTTCTGGCCCCTCGCTACCTTGACGTGGCCCTTAAGCAGGAAGAACGGCCCCCAAACAACTACGATTCCTGAATCTGTGGGAGCCTGGGCCTTTCCTTCCCCAGGTGAGCTGGTTGTGGACTGAGGTTTCTTGGCAGGCACCCACTGCTGAGCTGCAGCTGTTCTTCTGCCCGAGTCCCTCCCTGAGTCCTCCAGCATGGTGGCAAGGGCCTGGTGCCCACACCACCTTCCTCAGACACTGCCGCCACCACCTGCACAAAGTGCAGAGCAGCCACCCTGAGCACAGACCCCCACATTGGAGCCCACACCTGAGGGAGGAACACAGACCTCAGACTGCACCTGGGCCTGCAGGACCCAGTGCTCACCACATACTTTTAGGGACAAAGGGACAGAAAGAGACATACACATTGGGGTGGTATGACACGGAAGTCCTCTCCTGAGGGTGGGGGGCTCTGGGAGGGGCCTCACACAGATACAAATGCCCAGGGCTTAAGAGGCTCCTGGTGTAACTTACTCTCTTCCCATGCAGCCCAGACCAAGGGCTCAAGGGTCCAGCCTCTTGTGGCCAGCTTAGGAAAAGGGCCTCTTGTCGCTATGTGTTCTAGCTGAAAAGGGTCCTTCTGGGTTGAGCTGCAGGAGCCCCATTCTCCTCAGTGACCAGAAAGGGCAGTTGACATGGATGCCAGCAAGGGAAACTCAAGCCTAACACCAGTTCCCGGCCAAATCCCTGTGGCCAGCACCAAAGGCTATCTTCTCTACCTGACCTTTCTGCAGGGCCTGCCCTTCCTCATTAGGAGGACAGGGCAATCCTGTGGGGGGGGGCAGTGCTTTCAGCTGGGTGACCACCACAGGGGACCACCTAGCACAGTCCAAGCATTATGGCACAAGTCATTCGGATACACCAGTTCAGCCAGATGATACCATCACCCCTGCTAGGGGAACACCTTTCCCAGGAACTGATGGTTACTGTCTGAAAAGAAACACAATGGGTCTCACAGTAAAATAGATGTTCTGGGGGGAGCTGGTTACATGGTGTGTTCACTTTGGATGTAATTCATTGAGTTATGCACAAAATTTTTGCACTTTCTTTGTGTGTATCATACTTCATCTACAAAGTTTACCTTAAAGAAAAAGAAAAGAAAAGAAAACGATCTCCTTGTGTCTACGGAAGGAGATTGGAGGGCAGAAGTGGATGTTCTTACCCATGGGGTAGTGAGGGAGAACTCTACAAATTATGGGGCAAGTTCCCATCCCCACTCCCACTTCAGCCTCTGGGAGTGACGGAAGTGCAAAGGAGTGTACTCGCTTGCCAGGCTGCGGGGATCAGACCGCCAGAAAGAGATGAAAGAGCAGTAGATCGATAGCAGAGGAGGTGCAGCATGGGAGAAAGCAGCAGCATGGGCAACGTGAGCATCTTTAAAGACGGTGATAAAAACACACTACACGCACACACGCCCTCATGCGCGCGCGCGCGCGCATGCACACACACACACACACACACACACACACACACACACACGGGCACAAGGCTAGATAAAGCTTCATCTGTTAAGGAAACCGAGTTCCCTTGTGAGACAGCCGGTTTCCAGATGAGTCAGGTAAAGAGGTCTCCAAGACAGTCCTCTCCACTGAACTTGAAGTGGAAAGTCTACCCTACACAGCAGAAGTACTTCCCTCTCCTGTGCAGGAACAGATTTGGGGGAGAGCCCAGTTAGGACTGCCCAGGGATGGGGGCTCACTAGCTGAAACCCTCCTGGGTGAAGCCTCCCTGTCCACCACTCAAGGGCTCACGAGAATTCGTTTTCAGCCCCCACGTTGTGTAAAAAAACAAGGGAGAACTCTCTCGCCTCCTGTAAACAGTGCTTTTCCCCTCTCACTCTGGAAAAAGGGACATGAAGCTATGATTCTGCTTTTGCCCTTTACTGCAGTCAGGGACAACTGGAAACTGCCACCCTTCCAAAGGGTCCACAGCAGGACCCAGGTCAGGGTGGGCGCCCTTCGCCCCGCAAGGCGGAAGGACCAGGCTCCAGGAAAGGCCCCCACCAGGCCCAGCCGCAAAGCCTCTCGCGCCCGCGCCCGCACACAGGTCCCCTGGGCGGCGGGCGGTGGCGTCCCCGCTCTGCGGGTGAGTGAACAGCCTTCGAGCGGCAAGGGGCCTGCGCCGGCCAGAGACGCTGCTGGGACACCCTCCGCTCCCCCGTCTGCGCGTCCCGGGCCCCAGCCGAGGGGCGGCGCCAAAGTCACCCGCGCAGACGCCGCCTTCCCCGGTGCTCACCGGCTACTCCCCGGGGCCGCGCCCTCGGACGGCGGGGTCGGGATGGGTTTGGGGACCGCGTTGGACGGGCCCGGCCGACGACGGCGCTCGCGGTCCCCAGCCCCGCAGCGCCGCGCCGCGGGACACGAGTCCCATTTCCGCCGGCTCCGCGCGTTGCCGCGCAACGGTCCGTTCCCCAAAGGCACCCGGGTCGCCCGCTGGCCCGGCCCGAGCGTTCCGCGTGCGCAGCGTCCCCATACCCGTCCCGTCCCCAGCTGCCGAGCCCGGTTTACCTCCCCTGGGAGACCCAGTGGGCCCAGCCTTTGAGGGACCCAAATCCCACCTTGCTCCCACCCTCCCAAGGTGAAAGGGCCCCCAGACCCTGCAGTGGGGTCCCCAGAAGGAGCTACCCACCTAGGCTAGTCCCCTCCCACACTGCTTTCCGTAGAGGGGCTGCCCCAGACCCCCCAAGGCCACCTGTGCTGGGAAGGCTGAGCCCTGATGTGGCCAGCCCCAGGCTGCAGCTATCTGATTGTGGGGCAGGCACAACACCCAACAACAGAACACCCTCGTGGGCCCATTCAGTCCCCCCACCCTGACATACTGAGGGGACCTCAATTTGGGGTGCTGGCCCAGCCACAGGCCCCACTGTCTTGTTGACGGGGGCAGTACCACCCTGCAGGGACAGGAGCGCCCTCCTCCCGGCTCCCTCCCCGTGGGGACCCCTGGCTGGGCCCCAGACTCACTGAGTAACCCAGACACCTCTCCTTTCATGCCTCATTTTCTTCAATTGTAAGATGGTAGGAAAGCGCTATATCTACGATTTTTCTCCCTTTTTTTAAAGTAACATGAGTCTGTCCTCATAGGAAGGCTCCCCTGGACTCTCCCATAACCACTACCTATGAGCCTGGAGCTATTTGGTCCCCAGGGGAGAAAATAAAGGTTCAGACAGCCTCCCCCTGGGGAAGTGGGAGAGAGGGCACAGACCCCAATGTAGCCATGTGCACCCCCAGGCACCTTTAGGGCTGCCCTCCCCGGCCCACTTACCTCCACCAGGCCCAGAGAAGCTGCCTGGAGCCTCAGCACTGTGGGTGCCTCTGAGGCTGGGGGTCACTGGGGAGCCACACCCCTGCCCAAGCCACCTGGCCCAGCCCAACCGCACCCTCCCTGCCTGCCCCTGATTAGGAGGCTGGGCCGGGCCACTGGCGGGAGATCCTGCCTGGGTGTGTGCTGGCAGCTGGCCCCACATGCCAAGGATCCTGAGGCTTCAGCTGCTGGCCCCAAAGCTCAGGCCTCCTGGGACCAGAGCCAGGGTCCAGGCGCACCCTGAGAGGGGACATGGAGAGCTCAGAGAGGGCCCTGAAGGGAGGCCTGGGAGGCAGCTGATTCACGGCTGCTAGTGAGATGGGAGCCCTCACCAAGAAGGTACAAAGCCAGCCAAGGGCCCGGCACTGTAGAAGCTTCGGGTCAGGAGGCCACGGCCAGCAGCCCCAGAGCACCCCACCAGCCCTGGACATTCTTCCGACGGCAGTCCAGGGGCCTAGGGGCTGGCCCCATCTGAGCCCACCAGTTGGGTACTGCTACACCTTGATGTAGCCGTCCCTGGTGTCTGCTGCCAGGAGCTAGCCCTGGCGTGTACAGGCCACACCCAAGGGCTGCCTCAGCCCCTCTGACACCAGGCAGATGGGTGGCCTGGCCTAGGGAAACAGGGTCACCTGGCCCCCCAGGGAGCCCAGGCCCTTGTGGGCACCACCGAGCAACTGCATACCCCCAAACCCCTGTTCATAGTAAGGCCCCATCAGGCCCTGGGCCCGCCCAGCGTCAAGGCTGGGACCAGGGGCTCCCAGGCGGGGCCCAGTGTGAGGCTGTACACAGCCCCGGGGCCTGGCAGTGTGCAGAGCTCACGGACAGCCCCACAGTGGAGGGTGCCGACCACCACAAGCTCCGAAGCTGTCACAGCCGCGTCCTCTGGAAGGCCGGTTCCCAAATGAGTCGAGGCAGGAGGCAGATGGGTCACTCTCCAGGTCTACCACGGGGACACAGGGCAGCCCCAGACGTCAGGATGAGCAGGCTGGTCAAGGGGCAGTGCCGGGGCTGCCAGGAGTGAGTGGGGTCTCCAGGGAGGCCCAGAAGGTGGAGGAGGCAGGGCCAGGGGGCTGGGGGCAGGCAGGCAGACTCCGTCTCAGCTTCTCAGCTAAGCCAAGTTTGGGGTTGCAAGGAAGATGATGAGGCCCCCTGTGTGCCGGGCGGCAAGGCCAGTGCTCCTGGCACTCTCCGGGCAGCGCTGCTGTCCTCCCGTTGTACAGAGGAGGACGCTGAGGCACGGGGGTGGGGAGGCTGAGCTGGACTCTAGCTCTGCTCTTCCGGGTCCCAAGTACCCACCTGGTTCCCCAGTGGCCACCCAGGAGTCAAGGCACCTGGAACTCAAATCTGGGAGACGCAGGACCTGAGCCGCTCGCTGTGGGTTTGCTCTGAGCCCCAGATGAGCTCACAGGCATCGCAGGGTCCCCGGGGCAGGGGTGAGGGGTGACAGCAGCGTTTCTCAAACTCCTCTGCCCACGGGTACCCTTCCTTTCTGGGGGCACCCTGAGCTCCTGCTGGTCACCCCTGCACCGGCACGCTCTGTCTGTGCCTCCAGGTCAGGGGGACTTCCCACCTCCGAAGGGTGAGGTGGGGTCCTTTCCTAGGCCCCCCACCTGCCCCACGGAGAGAGGCCTCCCTGGGCTCTGCCCTGGGGTTGGGTGGAAACAAGAGCCTGAGTCAGGAGGAGCCACCTGCAGGTTCCCAGGCAGGGACATAGCTGGGCGTGGCCAAGGTGGGGTGACGACTCAGGCCTTCGCCACGTTTGAGCAGCAGTGCAAGGAAGTTCTGTAAAATATAAATGGAGTCCCCTGGGGACTGCACAGTGCTGCTACATTCCTGCCCCGGGGCCTTTGCACAGGCTGCCCCTGGTAGCTGGAGGCCACTCAACCAGCCCTCACCTCCCCGGGGACACCTCCACGGCCCCTCTCAGCAAACATTCGTGTGATGAGGCAGCCCCAGGCCGCCACCCTGAGCACGGTCACTCTGCCTGGCCATGGGGAGGGTGACTGCTGGCCGGAGTCTGGGGTGGGGGCCGACCGGGAGGTCAATCCCGCCTCCCTCACCAGGTGGAGGGGCAGGATGGTCCCGTCTCTGCACACTTGAGCCTGTGTGATGTGACCCCAGCAGGGCAGGCTCACCTGTCTGCCCAGCGAGGGATGAGAAGCCAGGTGTGGCCAGGCAAGGTGGCTCACACCTGTCATCCCAGCACTCTGGGAGGCCGAGGCAGGAGGCTTAGCTCAGAGTTCGAAACCAGCCTGAGCAAGAGGGAGACCCCGTCTCTACTATAAATAGAAAGAAATTAATCGGCCAACTAATATATATAGAAAATTAGCTGGGCATGGTGGCACATGCCTATAGTTCCAGCTACTTGAGAGGCTGAGGCAGGAGGATCGCTTGAGCCCAGGAGTTTGAGGTTGTTGTGAGCTCCAGGAAACACAGTGAGACTCTGTCTCAAAAAAAAAAAAAAAGAGAGAGAGAGAGACATCGGGCATGACAGACACGTGGGGGTGGGGGTGGGAGGCTGTGCAGGGGGCGTCTCCCGCAGACTCAGCCCCTGGGGACCCTCGGATACCTCCTGGCTCTGCTCACAGCCCCTGCAGCCCCTCCAGGAGGCCTCTGGGTAGAAAGTGCCTGGCTGGGACCTGTCAGCCCCGGTCTGTGATCCACAGCACTCCTCGCCTGGGCGGCCTCACCCCGGCTCCAGACCCCTCGGGGCAGGGCTGATGTTATCACCACCGGGTGCAGCGAACTGGCAGCCGCGGGTCCTGCTCAGACTGGCCGCAGCCCAGCCAGCCCAGCCCCAGCTCGGGGAGCCCGGCATGGGCAGGACCTGCCCCTCCTCGGCGGGGGACCTGGGCCCCAGGGGCCACTCCTGGGTGGGCTTGGAGGGTGTGGCTCACTCCCTGGGGAGAGCAGTGACCAGCTGGTCAGGCCCCCAGGCCCCTGCCTGCCCACCCGCCGTCCCCTGCCCATGGGAAGGCCAAGCTGGGCCAGGCAGGGAGGGAGGCAGCGAGCTGTGAAGGCCACCGATGCCTATCGTGGCCGCAGGGGCTGGCGGGGACCCAGCAGAGCCCACGCTGGGTGAGCAGCCCTGAGCCAGAGAGCACAGTGGGCACCGTTTAACTGCAGGGAAGGCTGACGCCGGCGCTGCTTGCTGCAGCTGGGGGCTGAGGACACACGGGGTCCCTGCCCGTCCCCCACGCTCGGAAACACAGGACAAATCGTCCTGAGCCTCCCGGGACCACACACGCCTGCCTCCCGGCCCCTTTGCTCCGTCCCCTCCCCTGGAAGCCCCCAGTTCACAGGAGGGGGGGTCAGGGTCTGAAGGTCAAAGCCCAGGCACTCCAGGACGGACACTTCCTGGGGGTGTCCAGGTGGTCAACAAGGAAGGAGGCTGAGACTGGGGTGAAGGTGGCTTCTATTTTAATGTCCTCAACTGCGATCAATAAATAGCTGTGACCTCTGCTGTCCCCAGGTGACCCCAGAGACAGGCCCTGGCCACAGCCTGGCGGGGTCTGTCCACATGCACGCCAAGGCTGGCAGGTCCCCGGCGCTGGCCACAGGGCTGGGACAGGGGAGGGACTGGGCGGGGGGCCAGGGGTGCAGAGTGGGACCAGCACGTTCAGGGCGAGGGTGGACGGACGGTGGGAGCCGGGGTCAGACCTCGGCACCCAGGGGGCTGGGCAGGACGTCCTCAGGGGGCTGGGAGCTCCCGGCCCCCACACAGGGGCCCCAGCCACTGCCGGCAATGACAGGGTCCTCCAGGGCCTGCAGGGGGAGGCCGGGCGGCGGGACGCTGGAGTCCGCCTCGCACTTGGTGGTGTGGCCGGAAAAGGATTCCGGCGCCGAGGGGCCCAGCATGCTGGGAGGATCACTGGGGGGCCCCGGGGCCAATGTGGGGTGCAGCTCGGCCGGCCCCCAGACCCCGACAGGAGCCTGGGGCCCCTTGGCGGGCAGGCGTTTCACAGAGAGATCGAGGGGTGTGTCCGGCGGCCGCACGGCCCGCTCCAGCGCCTGGTGGATGGTGAGCAGCTCCAGGCGGATCCTGCCCAGCTGCTCCCGCAGTGGCTGTGGGGCCAGGCCCCCCGCGGGCACCAGCTGCCCCAGGCGCTGCTCCACCCTGGCGAAGTCACCCAGGGCCCGCGCCAGGTCCTCACCCATGTGCCCTGGGCTCCCGGGCACTGGGCCCCGCGGCTGCTGGGGGACGGGGCCCTGGGGGCCAGGGGTGTCAGCATCTGTGCCCGGCTCCTTGTCCTCAGGCCAGAGCCCCGTGGAGGGGCCGGCAGGCAGGCTGCAGGGAGGAGCTGGTCAGGAGCTGAGCTGCCCCACCGTGCCCCAGCCCTGCCTGCTGCCCCAGGCCCTCTGCTCCCCACAGCCCCCCACCAGCCCAGAACCTGGGGACCCCCAAGATGGGCTGTCTCCCCAGTCCCACCTCCACTCTGTGGCCTGGAGCCCCACCACCCTGCCCAGCCCTCCAGCCCCGCCAGCCCAGGACACCCACCTGCTCTGGGAGCAGAACCTGGACAGGCCGGGAAGCGCCTTCGGGAGCCCCAGCCTGCTCCCTAGGGGCGGCCTCCTCTTGGGGTCACTCTGGGCAGCCTGTTCTAGCTCCCCAGCCTGCCCTGGGTCCCTGGGGGTGCTGCAGGTCCAGGGACTCCCCAGCATGCCAGAAGCCAGAGTCCCAGGGGAGCCCGAGGGGCGTGGAGGGGCCTTGGCGGGGGCAGCCTTGCCGGCTGGCAGCCCCACCGTGTGCTCCAGCAGCAGCGGGCAGTACAGGCGGGGGGCCAGGGCAGGGCGTTCGGGGGGCTGCAGGGCTGGGAAGGCTGCGGCCGGGGGCAGCAGGGGGCCAGCCGAGGCCAGGAAGGGCACGTGGGCAGCGGCGGCCAGCGAGGGCCCCAGGTAGGAGAAGAGGCCTGGGCCCAGAGGGCAGTTGACCCCCAGCAGGGACAGGTGGAGGCTCTGGGCCTCAGGGAACTCGGCCCGGGCGGGCGGCGGGTAGCAGGGGGCACTGCCCTTGGGGCCTGCCGCGGCCACGTCCCCCGCGGCTGTGCTCCTCGGGCCCCCGCTCAGCCCCGGCTTCCAGGACTCGGCCAGGAGCCCGCCGGGGCCCAGACCCTTCCGGGCAGCCCTGGCCACAGGGGGCAGGGGCCCTGGGGACCCCTCAGCCCCAGCCTTGGTGTCCCTGCCCCGGTGAGGGGAGAGGACGTCAGTGCCCACCAGGTCGGGCGTGGTGGCTCCCTGGGGCTGACTGCCGGGGTCCGCAGAGTCCCCTGGACAGGCGGGGGTGGGTGCTCGCGGCCTGGGCGTGGCGGGGGCGCGGCGGCAGGCCCAGTCCGGGGAGTCAAGCAGCAGGGAGAGGGAGTCCTTGCAGAGGCTGTACTTCATGTGGTTGTAGAGGTGAGACTTCTCCAGGCAGGTGAAGGGGCACTGGAAGCACTTGTAGTTGTAGGGCTTGCCCCAGGGCCGCGGGATGTAGTGCGGCTTCTTGGGCTTCCTGGACCGCGCCCGGGCCCCTGCGCCCACGCGGCTCGAGCCAGCCTCTCGAGACATGGCGGCCTGGGCAAGCCAGCCTGGGCACCCCCGGCACCTGCAGACCAGGGGGCCCCGGTCAGCGCCAGCCCGCCTCCGACCGACACCCCCACTCTCCCTCCAGGGCTCCTCGAGTGCCAGGGAGAAGATCCCAGGCGCCCCCTCCCCCCAGCCCCTCGCCCGCCAGTCCTCTGCGAGCACCTGCCCGGGGTGGCCGGCCGGGTGCAGCTGATGAAAACTCAGGACACTTACATCTGACGCAGATAAACAATTGTTTTTTCCGTGTCAAGTACGGCCCGCGCAATATTTGGGACACTCACTGAAAAATTATTCATGGTTCATCTGAAATTTAAGTTTACCTGGGCGTCCTGAGTCTCAGCAGGGGACCCTACACCGTCCCCCGCCCCTGAGGCCAGGCCAGCCCGGCCGACGTCTGGGGTGGCCCAGTGCACATCCTGTCCTCGGCACCGGGCGGGCGCTCGGCAGGCAGGTGGGCAGCGAGGGAAGGAGCACAGTGTGGACACCACCAGCCCCTCCTGGCCCTGCTCCCTGCAGAGCCCCTGCCCTCGCGGAGATCCTGCCGGAAGCCTGCGACAGGCTGCCGGGAAGAGAGGCCGGCAGAAGGCTCTCGTCTGGAGAGCGCTGCATGTGCACGAGTGCATGCACACGGATGCACAGGCTCGAGCCTCCTCCAGCGGGCGGCAGGTGGACACTGGGGGTCTCCGGGGGGGCAGGCCAGGCTGGGGGGAGTGGACGTCACAACACGGCCCCACGGTGCAGCCACCTGCTCAGCCCGGCTCCATCTGGGTGGCTTCAGGCAGGTCGGCGGCCGAGCCCGCAGCGGCCGTGCTCAGCCAAGCCCCGCGTCTCCCCGCGCCCCGCACGCTCGCTCGCTGGTAAGCCGCCCTGTGCTCCATCTGGGCCGCCACCTGGGCCGCCCGCCGCCCCGCCGCCCCGGTGCACGCCTGCGCGGGGTGCACGCGGGCTCGGGGTGCGCACACACAGGCACACAGGCTCCCAGGGGGTCCCTCGCCCTGCGGCCAACCCCGAGCGGGTGCGCCCGGTGCAGAACGGCGGCACCCACACGCGCATCTCACCGCCGGCCGCCTGCCGGGGAGAACCTCACGGCGCACCCAGGGTGTGGGGAGGCATGCGGGCTCATGCAGAGACAGCTCACACATGTGCGCACGTTACACGCCACACCTGAGGACACACGCAGACGTGGCCGGGACTCACAGAAGGTCACAGAGACACTCACACACGTGGCACACAGGGCTGGCTCCCCGTTGCTCGTGGATGGTCGGTGGGTGAGGGGGGCAGGGCTGTGCACGGCACACACACCCTGCGCTGACCACCACGCTCCACCCACGCAGACGGTTGCGTCTGTTGCCCCAAACGGCGGGTGGGCTCCCCTGTGAGGGGACCCCCGCCAAAGGGGTGGGGAGGAGGGGGCTGGGTCCCCACAGAGGGGTCTCCAGGCTGGCAGAGGGGCAAGGAGGGGCCGACTGACTGCTTTGCTGCCAGGAGGGTGCGGGGACTAGAGGAGGGGGCTGGGGCTCCTGGGGGGCGCTGCAGACCCAGCCTGGACCTGGTGGGGGGTACAGAGGCAGCCCCTTCTCCCTGCCCCCCCAGATGCGGATGACAAATGGGCATGTGGGCTCCCGCGACAGAGGCGGCTGTGCCGGGCCATCGATCACCCAGCCCTGGGAGCCACACAGCTGTGCCGGCTGGTGGGTGCTCCGCCCGCCCTGCCTCCCAGCCGGACTGGGGGCTCCTGCCGGGCTCCCCTTACGGTCAGGCACCTGGGCTGAGGGGCTTGTCCAGGAGCTGTCTCAGCAGCTGCTGACCCCGAGGCACCCAGAGGATGCCCGGCACGCGTGTGCACAGCGTGGAAGACACCCCCAGACACCAGCCGCTCACACACACAAAGGCACCCCCAATCCCACACGTCCCGGCCGGCGACTAGGGCACACTCCCAGGGCAGCCTGAACCCTGCCAGCCCAGACACCCGGCCTCACTGACCTTCCCAGTCTGGGGGAGAACGGTGGCAGAGAGGGGCACCCGAGGTCCCACCCCAGGACAGGAGGGGACAGGAGGGGACCCCACTACCTGGGGCCAGGGACCAGCCACCAGCAGGTCACAGCCCCTGTTGGCGTTGGCCCACTGGGACTCAGGGGCACCCCACCCGCCGGGTGTGGAGGGCAGGAGGGACCAGGAGCTCCTTCACCTGACGCAGGGCTGGCTGGGACCCCAATGCCCTTCTCCCAACCTCCCCAGCTGCACCCCTGAGGGCAGCCCTCCCTGAGGACGCGCCCAGTGGCCCCTAGGGCGGAGCCTGGACGCTGAGAAGTGGGGTGTGGGGCCGGCTGCCGCCAACTCCCGCGCTCCCGGTCCCCCACGCCCCTAACTGCGCCCTCACACCCCCTTGCCGCTCCAGCTGCTCCCCTGCGTCCCCCGCGCGCCACCCCAATTGTGTACCCCATGCCCCCAACTGCGCTCCCCACACCCTCTTGCCGCCCCAACTGCGCCCCCGCGTCCCCCCCGCGCCCCCTGCACCAGCCCGGAGCCGAGCCCGCGGCGCTGCCCAGTCGGCGGAGGCCCCGCGAAGGGCGCAGACTTCCCGCGCCCGCCCCGGGCCGCGCCAGCCGCGACCGCGACCGCAGACGGGCTCGGGCTCGGGGGGCGACCCGGTCTCCCGCAGGAGAAACTGAGGCCCGGCGCTGGGAGCAGGTCCCCGCGGGGCCTACGGTCACTCACGCGGCAGCAACTCCCCGAAACCTCCGCCACCGGCCGCGTCCCCCGACGCCGACTCGTACCCACCGAAGTTGGCGGCAGGAGCGGCGCGCGTGCGCCACGGCGCCGGGCTCCTGGGGGCGCTGCGACCTCCGACCCGGGCTGGCGGGGGAGGGGGCGTGGGGGCGCCGGCGCCGGGAGCGGCCCCAAGCCCCCCAAGCCCCTCGCTGCCCACCCCCCTGTCCCCCAGTCGCCCTCGCGCGCACTCACCGGCCTCGCGCGCCCAGGAAGCGCTGTGCGCTCGGGGCGCCCCGCAGACGCGGCCGGAGCGGCGGCAGGTGACTCGGCGGTGCTGCCCTACCGAGCGGGACTGGCGGCGCAGGTGTGCGCGAGTGAGGGGCGCCTGGCACCGTCCCCGCCCCCGTCGCCTGCAGGCTGCCGCGGGTGTGCGCAGAGGCGGCCAGGTCTCCCGGGGTCCCTGCAGCGGTGTGATGGGGTGTCAGCGACGGAGGGCGCCGGGAGAGGGGCCGTCAGCACTCATCCGTCAGGGCTCTGGCCCCTGACAGCCGCCTGCCCACCCAAGCCAGGGCCCCGGGGCTGAGCCCCAGGACAGTGGGGGGCCTTGCGCCCCAGCCAGCTGGGCAAGGGCAGAGCTCAGAGCTGGGCGCTAGAACCGGCTCAGTCGGTGGAGCCCAGCTCTCCCTGGGCGAGCCGTACCCTGCGTTTCCTTTTCTCAGAACAGGAGGCGAAGTGAATCTGCACCTCCAGCAGCCCCAGCCCTGCCCTTGGATGGCCACCGTCGCATACACACCCTTGTCTGGACACAGAACGCCCCAGCCCTCCCTCCCCACTCCCCTGGGGTGCCTTGGGGACCCCACAACCAACCACACGGTCAGCAGCGCCCCCAGCCCCACTTCCCAGGCTAAACGGGTTCCCAAGTTGCTCCCCGACCTGTCAAAACTTGCAGGTTTGGGGTCCCACTTCTCAGCTGTGTCCTAGCAGAGATTCACCCGATAGCCAGTTCTGTCCCAGACACGGACGTGGCTTTGCTCAGGGGAAGATGCCTTAACCCAGAGACGTGTGACATGGCACTTCAGGCACAGGGTCTCCAGCTGGAGGGGCGAGTGCTGCTCCAGCCCCCCCACGCTCCGTGGAGGCACAGAGCCCTGTGAGGACCCGGGAGCCCTGCAGGCTCAGCCACAGGCTCCTGGCCTGTCCCCATCTCAGGTCAGGGACAGGGATGCCTTGGGGAAGGAGGACTGTGTAGAAGCTTCTGGGTTTCGCCGCTTGCATGGGGCAGGCAGAGGACAGTGCCGGGTCCAGAGTCCAGCGCCAGCTTGGCCCTGTGAGGCGGGCCTCGGTTTCCCTATTTGTGGTGGAGGTGATAGCCAGGGCTTGTGGCTGGCAGGGGTCACCGTGCTGCTGGCCAAGAAACAGGCCCCTGGCTCTGAGGGTAAGTGCCTTGTGACAATCCCCACTTCCCCCCGAGAGAAGCCCATGGGCTGGGGCTGGGGCTGGGAGGGGTGCCGGGGTGGCAGAGCATGTCAGCCCTCTCTCTGCCCGCCTGGCCTGGCCCAGCTGACCAGCTGACCGTGCAGGCAGCCCCGGGCCGGAGACAGCTTGGGCACCGTCACGCCAGCAGCCCTGTGGAGAGTGGGAGCCAGGAGGCGGCTGCTCCACACAGACCCTTTCTGGACACGCTCAGCCGGGCCAGGCCATGGCCGGAGAGGGCTGGGGCCCAGGCCGCACAGACCGTGGGAGTGGGGGCTCCAGGCCATGGTCCCTCGATTCCAGGGATGCCCAGGGCCTTTCAGCCCCTCACTGGTCAGGCCGAGGCTCTGAAAGTCTGGAGGAGACCACAGCTGACCGCAAGGGAGATGGGCTGGCTGTAGGCCACGACCCTCATCCGGGGAGGGAAGGTGAAGGCCAGGACGCCCTGGTCCCGGGAGGCCCCGGTGGCCACATGCAGGGAGCAGAGCCCAGGAGGCCCAGAGGCCCTGGGGAGATGAGGCAGGACGAGCAGGAGGGGCCTGCTCAGCCCTGCAGAGTGGTGCTCACCTTGCAGGGCCTTTCTGTGCAGAAGTTTAGGCCAGAGGAGGAGGGGTGGGACCCAGAGGCATTACTTAGACACGTTTCTGGGCTTCCAGGAGGGTCCGTGCTGGGAGGATACCTGGGCCTGGGCCTGCCCGGGGCTCCCCGGAGTTCAGGCAGGGCTGTGCCCTGCAGCCTGAGCACAGGGTGGGTGTGAGGCTGCTCTTCCGGCCAGACTCGAGGAATTCCTCTCGAGGCTGGGTCATCGGTGCAGCCCCCGGCCCGGGTTCTCTGCCAGGGGGGCTCCCTTGCTGTGGGCCCCTCCCATGTTGCTCCCGGGCCACGACCCGCTGCACACAGGGCTGGCCTCCGGCTTGGGTGGTGGCACCTGCATCCTGAGGCAGTGACTGGGACCTCCCTGACCGGAGCCTGAGACTCCTGTCCGCACTGGGCCGTGTTCGCCATCTGCAGCAGGGGTAGTGGGGCGTGCCGTCTCTGGTCCTGGGGGGTGGCCTGGTGTCCTCTCCTCGGCCAGTCCTGGTGCAGGAGGGGCGGGGACCCACAGCCTCTCTTTCCGCCTCCAGCCAGAGGCTCATTTCAGCCATTAACCTTCTCTGCCCGGTGTGCCCACGGCTGCCTGCCTGTCACCTCCATTAACGCTGGGGCCGTGTGTGCCAGGGGGCTTGCGGGCGGGACAGGGAGCCCAGGCCCAGGGAAGGCAGGGCGGCAGCCGTGCGGCGGGCTGGCGGGTCTGCGTGGCGCAGTGCCTGGGGCCGGCCTGTCTCATCCCCTCAGCGCTGGTGCACAGCCCTCGCCAGGACAGGCGTGGGGCCAGCTGGCCGGCACCTGCCCGCGGGTGCAAGGACAAGGCGGGTCTGTCTCACGAGCAGCAGCAGCTCTGGGAGCCCTGGGTGGGGTGAGTGCCACTCGGGGTGTGTGGACACGGTGTGTGTTTGCCCTGGGACATGTGGCTGCCCAAGAGCATGTGCGAGAACCCCAGGCCCAGAGAGTGTCCCTGTCCTCAGGGCATCACCCTCTTGCCCATTCAAGGTGGCCTCAGGGACCCCAGGCTGAGGACGGCCCTGGGTTTGGCCTGGGGCAGGGATGTGTCTGAGGGCCCTGAGCACCCACTGCAGCTGCTGCCCCTGGTGGCCCTGGGTCACAGCAGTGTCACAGCAGGACTGGTCAGCTGGGCTGGGAGGGTGCAGGACTCGAGGGCTAGGCTGGAGCGTGGCCCACGGGTGAGCACAGGCAGGGCCTGGGTATTCTCCGCCTGGGGTCTGTCCAAGCTCGTCTGCCCGGAGGGGCAGGCACTTGCCATGACTCTGCTGGGCAGCTGGGTGCTCCGTGGTGGCCCCAGGCTGCTCCGTGCCGGCCGTGTTGTGGCCCTAGCCATCCCAGAGCCCACTGCCGGGAGTCCGAGCACCCCGACCCCAGCCAGCTGGGTCCTTTGCACGCTCCAGCGCGGAGGGTTGGGGTGTGAGGCTGACGCTCTGTGAGCCCTGGGCACCTGGGGTGGAAGAGGCTCCTGGACGCTCCTTGCTGCAGTGGGAGTGAGCTCTCTGTCATGAGAGGCATGCGAGCTGGGGCAGGAGCCTCTAGAATCGGAGGGAGTGGCCAGGCCGGGCGGGTGGGATGTGAGGCACAGGCTGCCTGAGCCCCCACCCGGCTTCTGAGCCTGGCACTGGCCAAGCAGCGCCCGGGGCTGACAGCAGCCATATGTTGGGGAGAGGAGCCGTGTGCGTCGCTCTGCGGCCCCCGGGGCCGGCCTTCCTGGGCCTGTCACAGACGATTTTCCCCGCCTGAGTGGCAGGCAGGCTGTCGGGGGGGCAGAGGGGGCCTCCAAGCTGGCCCCGCGTCCAGCCCGCCACGGCCCTCAACACCCGACTGGCCACTCTCGGGGCAGATCCAGGTGCTGGGCGTTGGCCTGAAAACCCCCGATATCTTACTCAGCACCCCCTGCCGCTGGCGTGGCCGCCCCCATCCAGTTTTAGGCTGAGGCCCCTGAGAGGAGCCCAGGCCAGCCAGCGGGGGCCGGGCCCTCCTGCTCAGACGTGGGTGGGGGGCTGGCCAGGGGTCCGCGCCGGGCAGCGGTGTGCCCCGGGCAGGTGGGAGAGGGCCTAGAGATGCAGCCCTGTCAGCCCAGCGCCCAGAGCAGTGCGGAGGGAGGTGGGGCGGCCGCGGCTAATTTGTACACTAAGTGCTTCTGACAGGGGCGCTTCTCAAGTGAGAACACGCCGCCACCCGCCCTGGGAAGCCGCCGTGGCCGGCAGTGCCGGCGGTGAGGGGCTGGGGGAGAGGGGCCGTGGGGTGCAGGGCCGACCGGGGCCAGGCCAGTGGGGAGACAGGGCTGGGACTGGGCGGGTGTGGGAAGGGGAGGGTGGAGCAGGGCAGTCCCTGGCCCTCAGGGCCACTACGGTTGCCTGTGGCCAGGCTGCCCGTGTCGAGCCTGCCAGGCCCTGGTGGGTGAAGCCCAGTCCTTGGGCCAGCCTGGCCCTGTCCTGTCTCTGCCCCCCGGGGGCCCCCGCTTCCCTGCGGGACGCCTGCCCAGGTCTGGCCTGCGTGGCCCTGACCGCTGTGGACCCTCCCCCAGCCACCCCTGCAGGCAGGGCACAGGGGGAGGAGGGCGGGTTGAGGGGTGGGCATGAGCCCCTCGGCCACGTGGAGCCTCCTGTCCTGCCCGGATGGCGCGGGCCCTCCCGTGTGTTTCACGCCTGGGCTGGTGGTGGGTGCTGGGGTGGGGGCCGGGGACAGAACAGAGGCCTCAGAAGGACCTGGGCTCTCAAGACCTCCGGGGGGACGGAGCCGGGTCTGTGCCAGACTCCAGGTGGGTGCGGGTGTGGGCCCGGCCCTTGGCCCCCACCCCGAGGGCGCAGTCCTGGCGTGGCTGCGCGGCGGCGGCAGCGGTGGAGCAGGGCAGGCGTTCGCGGGCACGGAGGTGAGATGTGTTGTGGCAGCTCCCCCGCCGCCCCAGGCCCGCCCGGAGCGAACACTGCTGGTGGCTTTAATTGCTTTCACATTCGATAGGCCACCTGACAGGCCTCGCGCCGGCCGGCCGCACTCCCACCCAGGCAGAGCCCGGCCGCAGAGCCACTGGGGGACGCGGCCGGGCAGAGGCCCACCGGGCAGAGGGGGACACGTAACTTCTGCCCACGTGGCCCCCTCACTTCCTCTGCTCCCGCCTGGCGGTGGGTCCTGCAGACAGGCCCTGCCGACACACTTGTCACTGGGGAGGCTGCACACCCCCCTCCCCGTAGCCCTGGAGACCAGGGGCTGGCCTGGCTCTGCCCGGCCTGGGCCCTCTGCCCCCTGGAGGCTCGGGGTGAGGCCAACCTCTGCCCTGCGGAGCCCAGCCTGGGCCTGCTGGGCGAGGGCAGGGCCACCGTCCCCACAGGGTGCCAGGGTGTGTCACCCCACCCACGAGCTGGCCCCTCTCCCCCCACAGGGCCCCAGGAGGGCAAGAGACAGATGAGGCGTCCATACAAAACAAAACGCTTTATTTGGTCCACTGGAGCCTGAGTCTGGAAACCACCATGAGGGTCGCATCGTACGGGACAGGGTTGACAATTGATAAAATAGTCTCTGTGTCAGAAGAGCTGGCCGTATGTACAGGGTTAAAAATATTCACAGCTCAGAGTAAAAGGAGGCCCGAAGGGGAGAGGGGAATGTTTCTCTAGGTGTAAAAACCCCCCGCCCCTCGGGACAGGAGGGGTGGGGGCTGGCTGGCTGCTGCTGCCCTGGGCCGCAGGGGGAGGGCCGGCTGGGGGCCTAGGAAGCTGCCTCCAAAGCGGCTGGGGAGTCGCTGTGCAGGCGGGCGGCTCAGCTCCCAGGGCGTCTGGCAGGGAAGGTGCGGTGCCACGCTCTGCCTGGGCCTGGGCCTCGGCTGCCCAGGACGCTGCCGGCCCCTGGCCTGCCTGGCAGGGGCCTGGTGGTGCCGAGGATATGGCCCCCCACCCCCGACAGTAGCAAGGCCAGGCTCCCAGCCTGCCGGCCCCGGTCATGGCTTCGATCCTGGCAGGCGCTCTGGGAATTGCATAGTGTCGCTGGCAGGGAGGCCGGACGGGGTCCCTCCTTCCCCAAGACAGGCACCCGCCTCCCAGGACATGCCGCTCGGCGCCAGGCTCGGGGGCAGAGCTAGGTTCCGACCCCAGGCCCCACAGACGGTGGTTCCTGATCTCACCACGGTCGTGACCTCTGACACCCAGATTTGGTTTTGTGAGCAGAGCTGTAGGCGCGCGCTCTGGCAGGAGAACCACCCCCGGGGGGCAGCCTGGCCTCGGGCCCGCCCGTCGCTGCTGTCCCCGAGGCTGGCAGCCCGCCTGGTTCGAGGTATTCTGCTTGGCGGCCGGGAGGCCTGGTCAGGCGGACGGCAGGCAAGGGGTTGGGGGGCCGCGGGAAGCCGCAGCCAGAGGCTCCCTGGGCGGGTCCTGAGATTCTGTTCAAGCGTCTTCCGTCAGGGTCTCCCTCATAAAGTGCGTGTGGGGTGGGCCGGCGGTCCGAGTGCCCACGGCCTGGCCCTGGACCACGGTGGTCAGAGTGGCCGTGGCCCATGCAGACCGGCCACCTCGGACGTGAGTGGGGGGCTGTGTGTGCCCTTGGAGGCCGTCCAGTCGCTGAGGAAGGCCTGGGCCGCCTTGCGGTGCGCCAGGCGGTGGGTGATGGAGAAGCCGGCGTTGCCCTCTAGCTGCGACAGGATCACCAGGACCTGCCTGGAGGCGGCGGCTGGTGAGGCCAGGAGGGGGCGGGGCCGGGAGGGGCGGGGCCGGGCGAGGCGGGCACCCACCTGTGCAGGGGCGGCACGCTGTCCTGCGTGCGCAGGCTGCCACGCGTGGACACCACGTTGAAGCTGTCGGTGCAGTCACACTGCACGTGCAGGAAGGATCGCGGGTGCCGGTTCTCCACCACCACGATGAGCCCCGCCCAGCCGTGTGTCAGGTAGTAGCAGGTCATGCCCTCGCGGCCCTGGGGACAGGCGCAGGCGTGGGGCGGGGCTGGGCAGGAGACCCCATCACCCTCCCCAGGGACCCCCACCCACCTCGTGCCGCTCGCCCCGGCTCTCGGTGAGCAGGATGATGGCGTCGGCCAGCGTGGTCGGCTGGGCCTCCACCGGTTCCACCATGACCAGCCTCGAGCTGTACACGGCCAGCACATGGCCGGGTGGCGCGGGGGTGTCTCGCGGGGCTCCTGCCGAGGGGCTGGAGGCTGCGGGGAGGGAGCGCGTGAGGCACAGCCGTCCCTGCGCCCGGGTGTGGCCCCCTGCCCTGCGGGGGCGGGGGCGGGGGCAGGGGCTCACCCTGCGCGGCGGGGGGGCCCGGCGGGGCGGGGCTCCAGTGGTTGAAGGCACAGCACACCACGGCGTACTCGCCGGGCTCCAGCATGACGTCGCAGTTGACGAACTTCTTGACGGCGCGTTTGCTGTGGGCCAGGAGGCGGCCCAGGCTCAGGTGGCCGCCGCTGCCGAAGGTGGCCCGGAACACCAGGATGCACAGGTCCAGCAAGTGGCTGTCCCCTGCGTCCGAGCGCCTGTGGGCCAGAGACCACACGGGGGCTGGGGCCACGCCTCACGTGGCTGGGCCCCCCGCCCCCGCCCAGCGTAGCCCCTGTGGCGCCCACCTGCTGCCCTCCTGGAAGAGCGCGAACTCCAGCGAGGCACGCTCCAGCACCGTCAGCGCCGTCACGCCCACGGGCCCGCAGGCGGAGCTGGGGAAGCAGCCCTGCACGCGCACCTCCTGCCAGTCCGAGTGCACCTTGCAGATGTCCACCGAGTCGAAGTACCTGCGCGGCCGGAGGATGGCCCTGAGCCCCACACGGCCCACAGGTGGCTCCGGTGCGGCACCGTCCACTGTCCTCCCACAGCCCTGGCCCCACTGGGGACCGTGCGCTCAAGTCCTTTGGGAAGGGCCCTCTCAGCAGGACACGCTGTCCCGGCCCCTGCGGCCAGGCCACCATCAGGGTTGCTGGGCCAGGACGGCCGGGAGGCGGCGAGCTCTGGGCGGCAGCCCCGCCCACCTGGCAAACCCCGCCTCCCACACAGCGCCCGGATGCCGGCGCTGGACCCCCACGCGGTCTGAGCCGCCCCGTCCCAGGCCGGCAGGAAGGACGCGGCCTGGGAGGGCGGCGGGGGCCCAGGTACCTGATGAAGTCGCTGTACTCCATCCAGAAGACGCCCTCGCTGCTGCCGTGGGGCATGAGCTCGCCGCGCAGGTGCCCCGGCCAGTGCGGCCACTCGTCCGACCAGCTGCCGTTCCAGGAGAAGCGGCCCCACGGGTTCCGGAGCCGCAGCAGCCTGCGGACCACAGGGCTGAGGGCCGGGCCTGCGCCGCCGCCCAGGGCCGCCGCCCACGGCCAGCCCAGCCCCTACCTGGTGCCCTGGACGTCGCGGACGTCCAGGATGGAGTAGGCGTGGCGGGGGCGCAGGCCCAGGCTCTCATACGCCGCGTCGTCCACCTTCATGTTCCCGCCCCCACAGGAGGCGCCCATGAGGAACCTGCGTGGCAGAGCGGCCCTTGCTGACGGCGCCTCGCCAGCCGAGACCTGCCGGCCTCCGTCCTGCCCCGGGACACGGAGGGGCCCCTCCTGCCTGTGGGGCCTGGGTTCCAGGCACATGAGACGTGTTCAGGAAGGGCTGGCCCAGCCCGTGTGAGGCAAGGCCTGGGTGCCCAGGGGCCCGTGCTCCGGCCTGCAGCTCCAAGCAGCCATGCTGCCCAGCAGCACCGAGTGGGGTCTCGGCACCATGAGCCCCCCAGGCCTGTGGCTTCTGTAGGTCCTCAGGTCTGGACCCTCCCCACAGCCTCCCGGGGCCGGGCAGCCACACCAGCCAGCGTGGGGTGGTCTCGGCACGCCCCACCCCCCGGGCGCCCTGAGCCGCAGGCGCCAGAGGGGGTGACAGGGCTGCAGGGCTGAGTCCCACCAGGCTCCCCGCTGTGGTCAGTCTACACTGGGGGCACCGTGGACACGGGGTGCGGGTCGGGGGGCGCTCGCCACCACGCCTCCCGCTCTGCGGCGCCCGCCCCTCTTACCCAGCCTCCTTAGAACTCAGCATTTTGGCCCAGATGAGGTCAGTGTCAACGGGCTCCTCGCGGGGGTTAGTGGAGCTGACCTGCAGCGCCAGGCTCTCGCAGGGGGCGCCGGTGAGCGTGGCCAGGCCCTCGATGGCGCGGCCCGCCTGGAGGGCAAAGTAGGAGCCGTGCAGCTTGGCCAGCGCCTTCTCGATGAGAGCCACCCAGAGCTGCTTCCGCTGCGCCTGGGGAGGGGCCGAGTCAGCAGCCGTGGCTGCGCCCGCCCACACCCGCCCGCCAGTGCCCCTGGCACACGCGCCCCACCTGCGAGAAGAGCAGGAAGCCGGCCTCGTCGCAGGGCAGCATGTCGTCCACCAGCACCGTGGTCCACGTGCCGTCCTTGCACAGGCGCACCTGGTAGGCGCCCTCTGCACACAGGCTGCGCGTGACCATCACCCGCTCCACCAGGTCCGGCCGCTCGGCCAGCACCGCCAGCGCGCTCAGGAACCTGCACAGAGCGGCCGGGCTCAGCGGGGGACCTCGCAGAGCGGCTGCCCCACCAGCCCAGGCGCACCGGCCTCACCAGCAGTTCCCCAGCAGCCCCTGCAGGATGTCCGAGGGCCGCAGCGTGTGGAACACGGACCACGGGGCTCCCTGGTCCCGGAAGACGGAGCAGTTGATTTCGTGGGGCCGCAGCCACTGCTTCACGCGCTGCTGGACGCTGTCGCCCGTGGGGAAGCCCACGGACTGGGGCCCGGGAGGGAAGCTGTCGTCCACGAAGTTCACGCTGTTCTGCAGAGACCACGGCCGCTAGCTCAGGCTGGGCAGGGCAGGCCCTGGGCGAGCCTCTCTCTGCCTGACAGGGGCGAGACCCACCTGCCCAGCTGTGCTGAGCTCTGGGGTGGGGGTGGGGTGGGCGGGTGTGGCCCGGGAGGGGGGTTGGCTGTGTGCAGCCCACAGGCCTCAGTGCCGGCCCTGCTGGGTGGGGGGCTCAGCTCAGGATGACCCCCTGCAAGGGGACCACAGCAAACAGCCCAAGACACTGTAGGGGCAGCCCAGGGACCAGTGCAGCCCCCAGCCGGAGGCTGACGGGCAAGGGGTGAAGGGAAACCGGCAGCTGCCACCAGGACTGGGAGAGTGAGGGTGCACATGGCCCCCAGCTGACCCGAGGGTGGCGCCACCCTGGGCTCCGGCCTCCCGAGGCTCAAAGGGCAGAGAGCCGGGCATCCCAACCCTGTGCACCAGCAGGGCCTCCGCGCTGCCTGACGCCCCGTGTGCCTGTGGTTTACCGTCTGGGGCGTGGAGTGGGAGGGGTGTGATGTGGTGTCACTCCCTGTCATCAGCAGGAAAGGGACCGCGGCTCAGGCCTGCCGCTCTGTGCCTACGACGAGGGGGCCGCAGGCACCTGCCCTGGCCTTGCTGGGTCCTCCCTGGGCCGGGGCCGATGGGCCATGGGGGCTGAGTGCGGCACCCACCTCGCGGCAGAAGGCCACGATATTCTCCCACAGGGCCTTGGCCTCGCCCTCGTCCGTCTGCCTCCGCTTCTCCACGTGCATGCTCTCCCTGCGCTTTAGGGGCGCGGCCCCGCGGCGCTGGGCCACCAGCAGCTGGGGCGTGTGGCAGGCGGCGCAGTGCTTGGCCCGGGGCGCGTTGAGCAGGGTGCAGGCGGGGCAGGCCCACTGGGCTGCACGCTCGGGCAGGAGGCGGCCGGCCTTGGGGGCCCGTCCGCAGCCGCCGCAGGGGCCGGGCTTGTCCGCGCCGCAGTCTGGGCAGCAGGCGGGCGGCTCGCTGTGCTCCTGGAAGCCGTGCAGCTTGGAGCAGCCGCAGGCGGTGCACCGGGGGACCGCCGTGGGATTCCTGAGCGTGCACCTGGCGCAGGACCAGGTGGTGAAGTCAGGGCTGGAGGGGCTGGCGGGCGTGTAGCGCACGGTGTCCCCGGTCAGGTCTATGACGTCGCTGCCCAGGGCGCAGCTGCCGGCCTCGGCATGGGCAGGGCCAGCCTCCGCCGTGGCCTCCTCCTCCAGCACGCTCAGCCGCTTGCCGGACAGCAGCTCGGCCAGGCGGGAGGCGCCAGCCGCAGCCGGGGCCCGACCCGGGCCCTGGGGGGATGCCCGGGAGCCGGCGGAGGGCGAGGGCTGAGCAGCCTCAGGCACCGGTGGCTGCAGCTGGGGGGGCACCTCCCGGCGGCTGCGGGGCACGGGGTTGTTCTGCAGGGCAGCGGAGAAGGGGCTGAAGGGCGGCCGCCTGGGGGGTTCCTGGCTGGCGGGGGCCAGGTCGCCCTCGGTGCCATCGGTGGAGGGGCCTGGCTGGGGCCCGGCAGGCACAGCGTGGAAGCCGGCAGGGGCCACGACTTCGGGGACCACCAGGGCCTCGGGAGGGATCCGGGGCAGCGAGAGTTTCCGGGGCCCCCCGCAGGCAGAGCAGGAGGTGGCCACGGGCGTGTTGTGCAGCGTGCAGCGTGGGCACGCCCATCCGCTTCCAGACTCTTCAGCCCCCGCCTCCTCTGCCTCGGGGTGGCCCCCGGCCGGCTCCACTGCCGCCGGCCCACCTGTCCGCATGGGCCCTGCCTCCTCCTGGCAGCCACCCTTGGGCTCCGCCAGGGCGGCGGACGTCTTGGGCAGGACCCCATTGATGACTGGCAGGGAGGCCCCCAGCACAGGCTCCGGGGCAAAGCCGCATACTTCACAGGCTTCCCTGCCCAGGAGGTTCCGGAAGGTGCAGCGGGCACAGGGCCACTTCTGCTCCTCCACGCTGAGCCGCAGGATCTGGTCGAGGTCGGGCTTGTGCCGGGGGGCCTCGCAGATGGAGCACTGGCGCTGGCCGGCCGGGTTCAGGAAGGTGCAGCGCGTGCAGGACCACTCCCCGACCGCGGCCATAGACCCGGGAGAGTGGGTGTGGCTGCAAAGAAAGCCTCGGTCAGCCAACCCCGGCCCCCGTGGAGAACCCCCCGTCTGGCTGGGGAGGCGCCTGTCTGTGGCTGCAGGCTGGTGCCCGGACAGTGCGGCCACCTCGGGGCTGGGCTCAGCCTCCGGCTCAGCACCGGGGGCAGGTGGGGAGGCTGTGTCCACCCAGGATGGGACACAGAAGACCCCTCAGGCCCTGGTCCTGGGGCAGGCACAGGACCAGGAGCCCTCAGGAGGGCTGAGCCCCCGCAGGGTGAGCCTGCCCTCTGTGGCGCTGCACCTGCCCGGACACCTGCGGCACGCAGCAGTGTGGGTACCCAGAGGCTGAAGGGGAGGTGTCCCTGGTACCCTGCGGGAGGCAAGTGGCCGTCCCCTGGCCCAAGGAGAGGACACGCCCTATTCTCCCAGGCACTGGACCTGGACAGTCCCCACAGAGCATGGCAGGCTGCCTGTGGCCCTGAGGACGGCTGGGTGCTGGTCGGGTCTCTGCTCCCCCAGGTGTGCAAGAGACTCCTGACAGGGCAGGTGGGCTCCTCGGGGCCGCGGTGGCAGGCGTCTGGGGTGGGACTGTGCCAGCAGGGCTGCTCTGGGAGGGAGGGGCCCCCACACCCCACACACAGTCTCCTCACCGACTGTAGCTGCTCTGCCTGGCGGAAAAATCAATTGTTCTTTATAACACGGTGCGAATCTTGTGCTTCTAACAATATGTTCCAGCTAAACCCTTTTGATTCAGGAAGAAAGGAAACTTGCCTCTTCAAATAAACCAAGAAATCTCCCCAAGCAACATGATTGCTTCCCGGAGCCCAGCGCAAGCTCTGTGACGCGGCTGCCCCCGTGCAGAGGGAGGTGGGCTCGGCCCCCCACCCATGGCTGAGGCTCCGGCCGCCCACGGGGAGGCAGGTGAGGGCAGCAAGGGGGCTGGGGGCGGCTTCCACCTCAGCTCTGTGCTGGGAAAACCCTGAGAACGCTGCTGGACACGCCCAGACCTCTCCTCTCCCGCTCCCTGCTTGGGAAAGGGGTCACAGTCAGCATGTGCCTGCGTGGAGACACACACACACACATGCGCCAGACACGCCACACACTCATGCTCCACCCTGCACCCCCACCAGGCCTGGCCAAGAGGCGGAGCAGCCAGCTGGGCGGCCCGGGGGCCCCGGTGGGCAGCGGAGCTGGCGCAGCCCCTGCAGCCCACCTCCCAGGAGGAGAGAAGCCTCGGGCCCCACTCGGGACGTCACCCCAGTCTGGGCGGCAGGGCCCTCCTGAGACACGCCCTACCCTGGCCCCCGGCCCCCGGCTCCGGCTGTCACAGACAGAAACACCAGGAGGGAGGTTGGGCCCGATATCAGAGCTGCCTCGGGGAATCGGACGGTTCTGCCTGCGTTCAGAGGGCTTAGGTGACTCGGCGCCTAAAGATCAGCTGGGGCCCTCAGGACACGGGCAGCCATGGCCCTTCTGCAGCTGGAAGGAGATTTCTCAGGGGCAGAGACCCTGAAGGTGTTGGGGCCTGCACCCTCGGGTGGGCCCCGGTGGAAGGGGCTCAGGGGCCGGTGCCCAGGAGGCCCGAGCAGGGGTCCGGCCTCCACGAGCCCATGGCCACGCCCAGAGTCACTCTCGAGTGCCGCACAGACCCGGAACCCTGGAAGCACCGTAGGCGAGGCCAGACCACTGAGGCCTGGGAGTAAGAACCCGCATCAGGAGCCTGGAGGTCCAACCCAGGTCTCTGCAGACCTTCTGAAACTGCCAACACGGAACGCTCCTACAATCCCACACACACATGCGTGCTCGGAGTCACGCCGCACTTCAGGACACAGAGCCATCGTGTCCCCGAATCAAGCAGGAGGACAGAGTCGCTCCCGCGCAGTGAGGAGAGCCACGTGGGAAACAAGCCACTCCAGAGACGTCCTCGCGAGAGGCTGCCTGCCTCGACGACCCTCGGGCTGCCAGCGCTCAGCTCCGATTCGAAAGCAGGTCACGACCTCTCGCTGGGGGCACGCCAACGTCCACCGCGGACCGACCAGGACGCAAACGCTCACAGAGGACATGGAGGCCGCTGTCCCGTCGCCACGGATGGGGCGAGGCTGCGGCCTTTCCCTTCTCAGGAAACGCTGACAGGTGTGAGCGCCGCTTTGTCCACGGGGCCCTCGGTCAAAGCCATGCAGCCTCCGGGGTGGCACCTCGCCCGGCAGGGCCCGAGCAGGGCCACACTCTGCCCACTGTCAGCCTTCCTGGGCGGGGTCTGTCCTCGTCCCCGTCCCTGTGTCCCAGGGCCAAAGACGCTGAACCGAGGGCTCACTGACAGGAGGCGGGGGGGGGGGGGGAGCCGTACGTGGTGTCAGGTGCAGGGGGACCTGGCTGGGAGGGAGGCACAGGCTGTTTCGGGGGCCTGTGAGCCACCTCTCTCTCCTCACAATGGGGGGCTCACTAGGGGTGCTGTAAAAATTCAACAGCCATCCGGGCGCAGTGGCTCACGCCTATCATCCTAGCACTCTGTGAGGCCGAGGCAGGTGGATCACTCAAGGTCAGGAGTTCGAGACCAGCCTGAGAAAGACTGAAACCCCGTCTCTACTATAAATAGAAAGAAATTAATTGGCCAACTAAAAATATGTATATATAAAAAAATTAGTCAGGCACGGTGGCACATGCCTGTAGTCCCAGCTACTCAGGAGGCTGAGGCAGGAGAATCACTCGAGCCCAGGAGTTTGAGGTTGCTGTGAGCTAGGCTGACGCCATGGCACTCTAGCCTGGGCAACAGAGTGAGACTCTGTCTCAAAAAAAAAAAAAAATATTAGCCCGGCATGATGACGCATACTTGTAGTCCCAGCTACTTGGGAGGCTGAGTCAGGAGGATTGCTTAAGCCCAGGAGTTTGAGGTTGCCGTGAGCTATGATGACACCATTGCACTCACTCTAGCCAGGGCAACAGAGTGAGACTCTGTCTCAAAAAAAAAACAAAAACAAAAACAAAAATCAACAGCCAAGAGGGCGGGATGCCCAGGGCTGGCCCTACAGTAGACATAGTTCTGAATTTAAAAACCTCAAGCTTTCGTTTGCACACTTGAACTCAGTAAAAAATAAAAGCAACAAAAGCCATCCACCCATGCGCCACGCGAGCCGTGGCCTCACTGCGGGGACACTGGGGCCGACGCCGCCCCAGGGACACAGCGCAGCCACTTGGCAGCAGCCACGGAGAGCACAGTCCCAGCAACTCTCAACAGCCCTTCTGCAGGACACAGACATCAGCAGATGGAAGTGAACGGACACGTGTGGACTGATGAAAACGTGGAGAGACACTCGTCATTCGCCATCAGGGAAATGCAGATCAAACCAAGTGAGGCGCCACTCCACACCGAGGGGACGGCGAGAGTCCCAAGGACGAAGGCCAGTGTCAAGGGCGTGGAGACACCAGGCTCCCCCGACACTGCCGGTGGGGCTGTGAGACGGGACAGCGCTGGGAAAGCAGCTTCTTCCAAAGTTGACATCGACTCGCCATGAACCCCAGCAACGCTCTTGCCGGGCTCCACCCGAGAGAAATGAAAACGTGTCCGTGAAACTTGTACGTGGCTGTTGGTGGCAGCGTTGTTCCCAAAAGCCAGTGGAAACAGCCCAGGTGTCCACGAACAGATAAACAAACCCTGGTCTGTCCACACAGCGAACAGCGCGTGCGAGTCTGACACATGCCACCACACAAATGACCGCACGACATCACACTAAGCCACGTGAGCCAGACATATAAGGCCACATGCAGTGTGACTCTGCTTACGTGAAATTTCTAGAAAGGACAAATCTACAGATGGGAGGCCAGGCCGTGGCTGTCTGGGGCTGGGGCTGGGGGTGACAGCAAACAGGCAGGATCTTTCTGGGGGGCAGAGACACCGTCAAACTGGATTGACCACGCTGACTAACAGCAACTGAACAGCACGCCGAGGATGAGGGAATTGGGTAAGTTACCGTGTTTCCCTGCAAATAAGACCTACCCATAAAATAAACCCTAGCATGATCTCTAAGCATGTTCGCAATATAAGCCCTACCCGGAAAATAAGACCTAGTGATGGGCGTGGCTGCGCAGCTCACAGGCCTGGCCACGCCGGCTCCCGGACACCCACTGTGATGCCGCCTGCTGCCAGGCTCACGCCGGGGTCTGCGGCACGTCAGAGTGAGGGATGAGGGTGTCACTGGGGAAGTCAGGCTGGGCGCTGGCAGAGCAAGGGCTGCCATTGCTGCCCCGCACCCCGGCTGCAGGACAGGGCGAGGCAGAGGGGCCAGTGAGCGTCCAGCACCCCAGAGTCCTGAGGGGGGCTCCCCAGGTGACCCAACGGCAGCCCCCACCTGCCCCAGGCCCACGTGGCCCCCACGACGCCCTGGAGGCAGCCGTGTTGCGACAGGGCGTTGTAGATGGGGCGGGGAGCTGGCACACGCTCTGGCCATCCGGGTGGGTCGGCGGCCTCCCCTGGCCCAAAGGGCAGCCCTGGATCACGGCTGTGAGGCCCAGGGCCCGTGGTGGGCTGTCCTGGCACATGCCTGTCCCGATCAGGCCGAGGCTGCACAGTGGCTCAGGAGGGGGGCTGGGGTCCCACACCTGCCCGGCCAAGAGCAGGAACAACCTGGAGCGCCCCGGCTCCTCCTTCAGGGAGGAGAAACAGGGACCCCCCCTTCTCTGCCAGCACCTCTGCCGAGGAAGGGACACCCCGAAAAAGAGGTCTTCTGCCCACAAGGCCCCTCGGGGAGGCGGCCCCTCCCCACCTCCTTACCTGCGGGCCCGGGGGCGCGGGGGCTGGTGCTGCCGGGTGACCAGGGCGCCTCCCCAGACAGGCCCCCCTGGGCCGCTCCTACACCAGCCGGCTGCTGCCAGGGGCCCCGGGTAGGGCGGCCCCCTGGGGAAGCTGTGGTCCGACTCGGTCTCGGCGGCCAGGGAGGAGGCGGAGCTCCCCATGGCCCCCCTGACATGGGCCGCGCGCAGAGCCGGGCCTGGTCACCTCTGGCCGGCGGCAGCGGGCGAAGTGGAGCATGGAGGGAGGAGAGTGCCCGCGCCGGAGACAGGGCGGCCGGCTGGTCACAGTGACACGACAACAGAAAGAGAAAGAGAGAGAGAGAGTAAAAGTGTAGAAGAAATAGCATGACCCAAACGCTCCAAGCCTGGGAGGGTCCCCGCGGGCCAAGTGCCACGTAGGCCCAGGGCTGGCCAGAGCCAGAGCCACGTCCACGGCACCCGTGGGCTTCCTCCTGCCGTCTGGGCCCAGTGGGTGGAGGTCGGGCGTTGGGGACCAGGGTCCGAGGACGGTACCCCCATCCCTGAAAGCCCCACATCACTGGTCCCTGGTCTCCAAAGAGGTCTCACTCCTTGGTGACAAAGGAGATCGTGCCATTCTACCGTATTACCGGACAAAGGATCGAAGGGACATTTAACCAAAGGGCAGGGAGGGGGAGGGCAAGGGCCCCAGCCTGGCCTCAGGGGAGGGTGCCTGGAGCCACCACGAGGCCCCGCAAAGACCCTGGGCCTGGGGGGCAAAAGCAGCCCGGGCGGGGCTGAGATGCACAGCTGCCCACAGGCTGTTCTGGATCCTTCTGGAAGGACAGCAGCCTGACCACACAGACCCACACACCCTGGCCAGCCCCAGCTCTGAGAGGCCGGTGTGGCTGCAGGCAGGGGCTGGCCACCTGGGTCCCCCCTGCAGGGCGGTTAGACTCACCCCACCGGCCAGGCTCCCAGGTGGGTCCACAGTCCACATAGGCAGGGCTCTTGGGGGCTTCCAGAGTCAGAGGGGCCCGCAGGGCAGAAACTGCTCACAACCGGGCCCTGGGCTGGCCAGAGCGAGCCCAGAGAACAGAGCACCGTCACGGCCACTCTCAGCTCCTTCATGACCTGCCTACCCCTCTGTGCCAGGGAGACCCTCGAGGAGCCTGGGCTCACGCGTGCTGCTGGGAGCATGAGCTCCCGGGAGGACCCACCTGCTCTCACAGGCCTGGGCAGACATGGTGTCCAGCTACACGCGGGCAGCCACTGCGCGTACCTGTCACGGAGCAGAGCCGCACACTGGCCTCGCCCGCCTCTGCGCTGGCTCAGATAGCTCCCGGAGCTGTGCGCAGCCTGGTAAACGGGCCCTGTGGGCCCATGCGGGGCAGGAGCCAGCCTGGGGGGTGGTTCTCCTGGGGGGGAGGGGACGGGACAGCCCCCACTTGCTGGGTGCTCAGGAGAGAGGAATGAGGGAGGAGAGGCGGCCTGCAAGGGCCTCGCTGCTCTCCACGAACACCTGCCAGCCTCTGCCCGGCCAGGCGCTCAGATACGGCAACCGGCAACACTCAGAGACCCCTGCCCTCAGGGGGCTCCCTGTCTCGTGCCATGCCTAGAGAGCAGCTGTGACGTGTCCCCAGACTTTCGGGAAGGGGCAGGTGCTCCCAGGACAGGGGCCGGACCCCGAGCCGTGTGCACTCTCCTTCCTCCCATGCCTTCACTGGGAACTGCTGCTGCCCTAGTTTTAAATGGGGCGGTGGCCTAGATCTGGCCTTAGGGACACACAGAGGTAGGGCCGCTGTGGCCCTGTGGAGACAAGGTGTTCACCAGCCGGGCTGACCAGACTATCCCCCAGTCCCAGCGAGAGGCATGTGCCTCCCCACGGCCTGCGAGGACAGCAGAGCTGGACAAGGACAACCCTCCCCAGGACTTGGTGTGGGGCCACAGACCCCCAGCTCACCTGCCCCCGCTGCCCCCAGGCCTGTCCTCAGCCACCAAGGGCCCCCGAGGGTGTCATAGCACCAGACTCGCAGGTGCTTCCTTCAGTGGGACGCAGGGCAAGTCACCCACGCTCCTGCGGCTCTGGGGACCCCCGAGTGCCAGCGGCCCCACCTGGGGAGCCAGAGCACACATGGGGGTGCCCCCAGCACAGCCCCTGCCACAGGGCACCTTGACCCTTGCCCAGGCAGCACCCACAGCCACGTCCACGCCGCCCCGTCTTCCAGCTCGTGGCGCACATGGTGAGGCCACCTGCCCTCCCCGCCGTGGGTGCAGGAGGCAACAGTGGAGTGGCGGCCCCACCCAAGGTGACAGGTGTGTTCCCTGCACACAACCCCGGCCTCCAGAGGCCCGAGTCTCAGCAGACCCTACGGAGCCATCTGCAGCAATCCCAGTGGGGTGGCCTGAGACCTCCCCACCAGGAAGGGGTGTGGGGGGGCAGAGGGAGAGTGGGGGTCCCTGCGCCCAGGCAGACAGCAGCACAGCCAGGCCCCTACCACACCCAGGACCGCACCCAACAGACCAGGAGGCCAGGAGCAAGCCACCGCCTGGGACTTGGCCTGGTCAGTCCCCATAGCCTCAAGACAGGCACCGCTGCCCTTACCCTGGCTGACACCAAGGCCACCCCGGGGCAAGCGGCCCCAAGGAAACAAAGCTCTTGCCTGCCTGTGGCAGGAGGGGTGGGGACAGGGAGCAATCCGCCCCATCCACCCATCATCCCCATAAGAAACCAGGCCAGGGCCCCACCCTGAGGACAGACTGGGACTGTGACCTCCCACCCGCCCAGAGAACTGGCAGGATGGCATTCTCCGGAAACAGGTGGATGGGGCACCCTCAGCACCTCCCAGGATGAGGGAGGCCCGGCACCTGTTCCCCCCAGTCCTGCCTGGTACTGCCAGCTGGGTGTGGGGGTCCACCTGGAGGCCAGAGGCAGAGCACGGAGGTGGCCACCAGGGAGTCAAGCAGGCCTGGCAAGACCCACACCTGCCCTGACTGGGCACCCCCCAGTGACAGGACCACGGCCTGGAAGGCCAGGAGGACCAGGCTTCCGCAGGGCGGCCAGTCTCAAGGGTCCCGTGAACCAAGGGCTGCACAGAAGGGCGCTGGGCACCGCATCGCAGCCCTTGACCGACAGCTCCCCAACACGCCCTCTGGAGCCACAGCACCTGGGACGCACCCGAGGCCCCGAGGAGCTGCCAGGCCCCCTTGGAAGGGGCCCCTCCACACAGGCTTCCCCTGGCATCCACTGAGGGTGTGCCCCGACGGCCTGGACTCTGACCCCAGAAGCCCTACCCGGCCTCCAGCTTATCTGCACAATCCAGAGTCCCAGGGAAATCAGTCCTGACCAGCCACGTGGCCCAGGGCTGTAGCCTGGACCCCCCACCCCCACCCCGGGGCTTCCCTGTCCCAGCTTAGCACGCGCAGCCTGCGAACTCACAGCCGACAGCAGCCAGAGTCCTGGGTGGCAGCAAGGGCTCAGCTGGCTCCTCGGTGCCCTGGTCTAAGGCCCTGCCCTGTCCAGTCCAGCCGGGTCAGCCAGGGTAGCAGATGGAGCTGCCCAGGTCCTGCCCTGACCTCCCACGGCAGGGCTGGAGACCAGCACAGGCCAGGGCAGCCCGGGCTTCTGGGGCACTGCCCAGGCAAGGTGGCCAGGGAAGGCAAGGCTCAGGGCCAGCAACCGAGACTCCTGGACCCGAGTCCTGGCACCGAGGGCCACTCCAACCACCAACACGGCTTTGCTTTCCTTGGCACAGGCTTATCACGGCAGGAGCCACCAGACAGCGAGGTGCTTGCTGCACCCATCCCGTCCTTCCTAGGCCCACGTCAGCCAACTGCAGTCTCCTCCACTCGCTCACCCATCACCCTCCTAGGAGAACACCACCAAGGACAGCAGCCACCACCTCCACCTGCCGTCTGCCTCTCGGCACTGGACAGGCAGGCACAGGCATGACCCTGCTGACCTCGGTGCGGTGAACACAGAGGCTCAGCTGAAGATCAGACATGCCCACCTAGGGCCACGTACAGGGAGAAAAGCTTTGGGGCGCCCAAGAGCAACAGTACTTCTGCTAACACACCTGGGAGGAAGCGTGGCCTGCCCTGAACCTCTTGCCAGCACCAGAACACACCCTGAGGCAGTTCTTCTCTTCTGGTTCCAGCTTTCTTCGTGTGGCCAAGGACTTCACAGCCTCCGAAGGCTGCAGCCGCCAGCCCGAGGCTGGGAGTCGGGGAACAGGCCTGGCTGCTTGCGGAGCTCACAGGACTGCAGCGCACAGCCCGCCCTGGGCAGGGCCTCCTTTCCTTGGCCCATTCAGGGCAGCTCTGAGATACCCACCAATCCACCCTTTGACGGACTGGTTCCCTCTGCTTTCCGAATTGCCTGGCTTCCCTGGGTGGGAGGAGAAGAGATGGGCGTGTCTAAAATGACAGCAAAGATCACGTCCTGAGAGGCTCCCAGGGCGTGGGGGCGGCCTGGAAGGACGGGAAAGGCAGGAGTGGGGGTATCACCGTGTGTCCTTCCATGTCTCTGCAGTGGCACCACCTCAACCACACATCATGGAAAAGGGAGTTTCGAAATTGTACTGTCAGGGAAACAGGAACATTCTCGGGATTTCAGTTCTTAGTTCACAAGTTCAACGATGTTTAACATTGAATACTATTTTTAACAGGGAAAAAAAAGGACAAGACAAGCACTCTCGATTTTTGGCACTTCTATATTTCTGCCTGCCAAGTGGCAGCAGGTGCAGCCCTCGCCTTGGCAACCTGGTGGCCTTGCCGGTGGCAAAGTAGGGGTCATGGGGTGGCGGCACTCGCATCTCCCGCTCACCCTGAAGAGAGGCAGACGGGGAGCTGTGTGGCCCTGCGCCCCAAGGAGGCCTCCGGGCACTTCCTCCCCATGAGTCGGCCTCTCCACAGGCACCTTTTCAGGAAGGGCAAGGGCTCCAGAAGCCACGGCCTCTCCCATTGAAGGGGCAGGAGGCGGGGAACGAGGCAAGGCGGACAAGGTGTAGAGGTGCGGCCTGCCCGGTGACTCTGGCCAAAGGGCAACTTTTGCAGGGAAAGCAGAGGGGAGGCACTGGGAGAGATTCCCTGTGCTGCCCAGCGAGCTGCTTCCGCACAGGAGCAGGACGCCGCCAGGACTGTCTGCAGCTGGGCATAGTGCGACATTTTCAAACAGCAGCTATCGACCCATTTTCTCCCAGATATCCTGAAGCCCTATCCAGGCACCTCCTCCACCCTGGCTACCTACCAGGGGGACAGGGACCACAGCTGCCCTCTGCCCTCGGGAAGCTGAGGGAGGAATGGGTGTGGGGCAGCAGAGCCACAAGGGCATCAGTCAGGACAGGTGGGGTGAGGTCGAGGCATGTCGCTCCACAGGATGCACGAGAGTCTGCCCGGGTGCCCCAGATGCGTCCTCGAGGGAGGGCCACAGTTTGCTCCCTGTGCAGCAACGCGCAGAGGACAGCCTGATGCCCAGGGCCTTGTGGCTCATGCTGGGGCCCCACCCTGTCCTTCCTGGGGTCTCTGCATTGAGCTAGGAGGCCCCTCTGCCCCCCCATCCCCGTTCCCTGCAGGCCCAGTTACTGCGGCACCAACGTGGCTGTCCACAGACCCCACGTGGACACCTAGACACCTCGTCGGGCCACTCGTCATGGGGTCTCCATTCGACTGCGCGAGACCCCGAGTGACAGGGTGTGGCCGAGCAGCGAGATGCTCACGCGAGGGTCACAAGGCAGCAGGGCCTTTCTCAGATTCAGAAATGAGCTGAGGTCAGGTGTCCCACTCCCAAGTACGCTGCGGCGCCCTCCCTCCCCTCGGACTTGAGAATCCAAGTGAGCCAGGGCTGCCTGACCACCCGCCGGCTGGGGCTAGGCAGCGCTGGGCCTGTCCAGGAACAGAACAGCCCCTGCCCTCTACGCGCTCACGGCCAGCAGGGGACACAGGGCCGTGCCAAGTGCGAGTGCCGCTGGCACGTCCTAGAAGGGAGCCTGGGTGGGCCGGAGGGGAAACATCAGAGCAGGGCGGACCTTCTGGGTATCCTCAGCAGGGCAGGGTGTGGGGTCAAGTGGCTCTGCTCACGACACCACGAGGGGACAGCCAGGCGGCAGGGAAGCCTGCGTCCTCGCTGAGGGGTCAGGAGGGACGTGGAAGAACAACATAGTCACACCGTGCTCTGGATGCTCCTGCCGTGCCAGGCGCTGGGCAGCAGGGCGAGGGCAGGACCGGAAGACGGAACAGTGAGGCGGGGCCGCAGCCGCGCAGGACGACTACAGAGCAGAGGCCCCTGGGCAGGCCGGGGGCAGGCAGAGCCCATCCTCGGGGCAGGCAGAGCCCTTCCCCTGGGCCGGGGCCCAGACTCTCTCTCAACATCTATGGAAAAGAGCAACCAAACCCACCCCCTACACCTCTGTCTTTTCACCTACAGTCGAGGGCAGTGGCAGCCCAGGACCCACCTGGAAGTGATAGGTCACCAGCCTTCCTGGGTTTCTGTAGCTGCATTTGCAAAGAGCCCAACTTGTTTCTGTTTAATTATGTCATTTGCCGCCTCAGCACGCGTCCACGCCTGGTGCCGTGAGCCAAGGAGTCACGTCAAGGGCCAGAGGGCTGGACCAGGGGCTGCTCTGCCCAGAACGGCCATGTGGACGGATGCCCTCTTTCAGGGTTGTCACCAGCGGGCTGAGGCCCCTGAACAACATCTACGGTTTTCTAGGATTTACATATGAGGTGGCAGAATGAGGAAGTAGAAAGGCAGCTACGTGAGCCAGAGGCTTGGATGTTCGGCCTCCCTCGGCTCCTCCCCTGCCAGAACTGCTGTCCCTCAGCCTCGGTTTCCTCATCTGTACAACTGACACAGGATTAGAGGGGCCAGCCACTTACTGCTCCCAGAGAGCAGGGTCTGTGGAAGCCCAGACAGTACGTCCCTGTGAAGTCACTGAGCCTGGGCCCAGCAGGGTTTGAGCCTGGCTCCCTCGAGAACTTGAGGTCAGTAGCCTGTCTGCCAATCAAGCAGCTCCAGAGAGTCTCAGATGCAGAGATGGAAGGGGAAGAAAGAGGGGTGCTCCTCCAAGAAGCAGAAGGACCTCAGCGCAAGTAAGACATGCCCAAGCCCAAGGCAAGGCTGGGCTGGCTTCCCACAAGACCTGCCTCCCCAGCAGGGCAGCAGAGCAGGAGCTCCCCATGTCTATCTGGGGCCAGGAAACCCTATCTGTCTTACCCCTCTCCACATTTGAGAAAGTCACTCTGAACTGGAAGGGTAGAATTACCCTCGCCTCCTCCCCGAGTCCCAGACTCTGAGAGCAAGGAGGCAATTATGGGGCATTCTCCACACCTAATTGTGACTCACACTTCTGCAGCCCTCAGACCTGGGCAGAGGGAACTCAGGGGTCCCCATAGGAGGCGCACATGCCCGACTGGGCACCCAACTGAGGCCTGGTTTTCTCCACTGGCCTTTGAGTTGCAGGACTCCAAAAAGCCAGGCCTGCCTCACATGTTCTAGGCTTTCCGGTTGCTTTCCGGTCCTGTTTCCTGCAGTTTGGTAACAAGCTCCAGGGCACTAAGGGGACCTGACAGTCCCGCCAGTGTGGCCAACTGGACACACAAGGGTTCACGGGTCAGGAGTAGAAGGCCCCTTTTGCAGCCAGCAAGAAGAGCTGAATTGTCAGGGACCACTTTCTGTAACTTCCTGAGTCGGTGCAAATGCTGATGGCTGGCGCAGAAGGGACTCTCGCGGCTATCCTCCACTCCAAGTGGCCACCCCAGGCAGTTCCCCAAGCCACAGGGGAGGGATACCTGCAGCAAGCAACACATCCCCTGATGCAGCCGGGGGCCGGAGGCTTGGCCCAGAAAATAAGGGCACTCAAGGGCAGGCAGGGGCTGAGGCCGTCTCCCGAGTCCGCAGCACTCCAGGGCTGGCCTCGAGTGACCCGCATGACCCAGGTCCCTGCCTGCTTCCCGCCTTCTTCGGGGTCCCTCACCGAAGCAGCACTCGAGCCCAGCCTCAGTCTCCAAAGCCCTGGAGGCGCCAGCGGGCTGACCTCGGCTCTGAGGGCCCGGCCGCTCCTGCCTTCAGCCGGGAGCCCGGGCGCGTCCGGCCACCGGAGGGCACGCGCCCCTCCGGGCCTGCTGTCCCCAGCTGCCCTCTAGGCCCGAGCTTCCCGCCGGGGCTCCCAGGCTGCGCACCGGCCGGCGGGACTCACCTCCGCAACCCGGCGGCGCCTCCTCAGTCCCCGTGGCCCGGGCAGCGCGGCCGCGGTCCCGGCCCCGGCCCCCGGGCCCGCTCGCCTCCGCCGGCCGACCCACAACTTCTGCCTCCGGAGAGCGGCGCAGCCACTCTCGCCGCTGGCCGTGCTGCCCGGACAGCCTCCCGCGCCTCAGCCACGGAGCAGCCAAGCGCCCCGACCCGGCCCGGCCCGGCCCCGGCCAGCGACCGGCGCCCGCACTACGCCGCCTCCGTAGCGTAGCGCTCGGCCGGGGCCCCGCGGCTACGACGCGCCCGGGGCGCACGCGGCGCTGTGAATCGCGCGCCCGGACTACGGCTCCCACAGAGCCGCGCGGCGCCCGGCGCGAGGCAGGCCGGGAGCTGGGGGCGGAGCCGGGCGTGAGGCAGGCCGGGAGCGGGGTCCCGGGCCCGGCGCGAGGCAGGCCGGGAACTGCGGTCCTCAGGGCGTCCTCTCCGGCCCGCGCGCGCTGCTGGGGACTACGGGGCTTGGGACCCCGCCGGGCGTATAGCGGAGGGGCCGGGCCTCAGTTCGTGGGGCGTCTGGCGGCTCCGCGGCGTCCTCGAGCCGTCGAGACCCCTTCGCGCCCGGGCACCTCCACCCCTTTCCGCGCCGTCTCACACTTGGCTTCCTCAGTTTCCCCACCGAGCCAGTGGTGAAAAGGAGGAAACGTAGCGGGACCCACTTGGGTGCCTCGGCATTTGCAGGGCCACTTGAGCACATCGCCTGTCTAATAAGCCTGTTTTCTCCTCGGCGACAGAGGGAGGCTGCGGGGGTCGTCGGGCCTGGCCTGGCAGGAAGGAAGCCATTCCCACCCCAGGAGCAGCTGGGGAGGAGGCCGGTTCTCATGCTCTCGGGGAAGCTGAGGGCATCCGGGCAGATAAGGAGCCCGACAGGGCACTGGCGGTGCAGTGAGATCCGGGAGAGACAGTGTTTGGTTGTGGCCCGATTCTGCGGGGAGATGGAGCAGTCTCACAAGTGGGAAGTGGGGTGATGTTCACTCTAAGGCCCAGAAACTGAGCCAATCTCAACAAGACCTACAGGGCCAGAGCTAGTGTTCCCTGGAGGACGTTCATGCTCCAGGAAAGCCAGCGACCCACGGACGGGTCTTCACCACGCTCACCAGGTGCTGCAATGGGGATACCTAGTCACAACCTGGGGGCAGCTTCAGCTTTTAGCTGCAGTCAGGACAAGCTGGCATCCTGAGTGTCCCTAGGTGGCAGGAGATTTGCTTCTGTCCTAGGAGGCCTTTGGTGAGGAGACTTCATTCCCCTGCCTTGGAACATGTCCCCCTGGGTCTGCTGCCTGCTCTGTGGAGACTGGCAGGGCAGCTGTTTGTCCCTAGCCAGGTGTTTCCATGCCTGGTAGGGGCACTGAGGGCTGCAGAGCTGGCTCTCCTGTGACTTGGATAGGGCTCTCGGCCCGTCCTCTCAAGCTTCCTCACATGCATGAAGGCTGACTAGCCAGGTGTGGCTGTAGAAGCACAGCCAGGGCTGCCTCTCAGGGAGGGTTCTGTGACTGCAGATTCTCTTCCCTTCCCAGTCATCCCTGGGCCCTGCCCAGGGTGGTTGTACATGTCAGGGCTGGTGTGGCTCCCTGGCTGGGGGCTGCTGGTCCAGCCAGCAGAGGGCTTGTGGCCCTGCCACCTGCCAACCAGAGAAACAACTGAAGTTGAGCTTGTTGATGTGACAGCAGAGGTTCTTGCCAGCTTACTACAGAGCGGCCAAGGTCTGTCATGGAGGGGAGAGAGCCCACCCACCCAGAAGACAGCAGGAGGAGGCTTAAAGGTTGAGATTTCACCACCTGAGGAGGGAACTGAAGGGAATGGGAAGATGAGAGATGGGGTCTTTGCTGCCTCTGTGCAATGTGTGTCACGTTAAAGGCTATGTCACGAGACACCAGGCATCGCCCAACTGGGCTGTACTGCCCGCTGCACAGAGAAGAGCCCGTACACTGGGGCGTCAGGGTTGCAATGGAGAAAGCATTTAACTCCACAGAGTGCTAAGCAGGGAGACAGGAGGAATTTCTCAAATGCGCCTCCCTGAGATGGGGTTTGGTAGCAAATGATTATAGGGGTATAGAAATCATTTTCCTGAGTTGAGTCAGTTTCTGGGATGGAGGGGGGGAGGTGTAACAATTCTGATTGAGCCAGTTTTCAGAAACTACCTTTAGGTTTGGAAAAGGTGATGTTATCTATGGAGAAAGTTAAGAATCTTTATGATCACCAGCTGTGTGACTCCAGAGTAGCAATTACAGAGAAGTAAACGGGACAGTGGCTGGTTATTATAATTTTTAGCTAGGCCTGGTGCCTTTGCAGAATCTTAGGCCCTTACCACAGCTTTCACCTTACACCCTTTGTTGATTTGTAAAGGGCAGTTTCACAAGCGTGAATTTTAGGACTATAGAGCAGAAGATAAGTGACTCTGGATTATTGTTGATTGATCCCTGCCCCTGTACACAACCTCACATTGAGATAGACCCAAGCAGCTAACACAGGACAGCCCGCCCGTGCGTAGAAGGCATGACAGGAAGGCATGATCCCACCTGGAGAAGAGGCAGGGAGGGCCAGGCAGAAAGGGCTGAGCAGAGGTGGGAGGTGTCCGTTCAGGCACCCTTGGGGCCAGAGCAGTAAACAAGAGACCCTACTGCCGCCATGGAGCGTAGACTGTCGTGGGAAGAGCACACTGGGAGGTGGATGGGATGGGCACGGGTGCCATGGCCAGCAGGTGGGCTGGCTCATCTCTGACCAAACTCACAGACTGTCCTGGTGGTGCTGTGATTACCTGCTTGTGAGCCACACATCCCTGGGCCCAGGAGGGCAGCCTACCTGTGGGTAAAATATACTCGGGTAAGGTCTCTGGCCAAAGCTGCTGCCCTTCTCTGGGCCTCCTTCTCCAGGTTTCTGGGCTCCAGCAGGTGGAGGGGCCAGGGTGCCATCTGGGCAGCACCACGAGGCCTGGCTAGGCTGGAGGCCACCTCTACATGCCAGCAGATCTTCTTGGGGGGGGGGAAGAACTGATCAAGACTCAAGATCGAGTGTCAGGAGCCAAATGGGACAGGACCCACCTGGGGGATGCAGGCAGCCCCTTGGCCAGGCTACTGCAAGGTTAGGGGTGGAGGGCCACCTCCCAGGAGGGAGGTGCTGAGGCCCCTGAGAGTGCAGGCCTCCCCTGGGTAGGTGGGAGGGCAGGAATCTGGCCTTGGACACACCCAACCCCCCCAATCTGCTCTTCCATTCTACCCCACGTAGCGTCCAGGATTCCCAGTCCTGACCCTGGGGCCTTCTGCTGCAGCCCCTCAGATTCAGCCTTCTGTCCCTGGGTCCTCAGACTCCCTGGGCCTTGGTTTCTGCCTCCGCATGGTTTGCTCCAGCGATGCCTGGGCTGAGTGGTGAACTTTTCAAAGCATGTGTTATGGGGACTTCTTGCTAACAACCTGCCCTTCCCCATCAGATATGGTCACTTCCCCTTAGAACCCTCTTTCTGCTGTCCCTGTGACTACAGTGGCATCTGAATGCCTGTGGGCTGCCAAGCCCTGCCCTCCACCCTCCCGGAGCCCAGTGCCATCCTGGGCCCTTGCCTTCTCCCTTGCCTTTGGTGAGGTGCTGTGTGTGGCCTCTCACATCACTGCCCTTTTCACGTGGACGTCTGTCACTGGGGGTAAGGGCACTGTACCTCTGACCTGTGACGCTCAGACAGCCCTGTGCTGCCCCTATGCCCAGCCACCTCTCAGTGTCCTGTCAGCAGCCCTCCTGGGCTGAGCTTGGGGACCGAGTCCTGCTACCAGAGGGATGTGTGAGGGCTGCCAGGGCCACAGGGCTTTAGGGTCCAGACTCTGCCCAGCCTGCAGGTGCAATTCTGGGGCCCCAGCCAGGCCCTTGGCCTGACCAAGCTGCAGAGCTGGTCTCCTCTGGTCTGAGCCCACAGGACCGATGGCCCCAGATGCCTTGGGGGAGGCTGGGCCAGGCCCAAGGAGCACCCCAAGCCCACCTTGCCCCGTGGCCCGTCCAGAGGAAGAAGCCAGCCTCGGTGTGTGCGGTAACAGCTTTAATCAGTGGTGGCCCCTCACCCTCCTGCACTCAGGCAGGAAGAACCGTTTCTCGGGACTGAAGCAGGCGCAGTGTGCGGTGGTGCCTGTGCATTTCTCACACCGTTTCCTGGTAACTCATGTTTACAGTCAGCACTGCTGCGCGGCAGCAGGACAAGAGCCCACGTCACCAGGGCCAGACCTGGGCACAGAGAGGCAGGGCTCCAGTATTTATATATTATACATATATATATATATATATTTCATGTGTATACACAGATAGTTTTCTCTCTTGAAAGTATTAAAAAATTGATCAACCTTCAATCTATAAAAAATACCTACTCTACATGATAGAAAAATCTTTCCTCCAAGTTTACACTGATTTACACCCAAGGCTTTCCCCAAAATGTACAATACGAGGCAACATCTTCAATCTTAGTGTGGAAGGTGGGCCGCGAGGAGGACAGAGCGGTGCAGGGCAGTGCACGTGTGCACACAATGGGGTGGCCTCAGCCCACATGGGAACGCCCCGGGCATGGCAGGCTCAGTGCCTCCCGACCGCCCCTGGGTAGTGCAGGTGCCAGGAAGCGCCAGGCGCAGGGCAGGAAGGCCTCCCGCTCTGCCCGACATCCTTGGAGAAACTTCCCTGCCCCACCCTCCTGCAGAATGCACCCTTGCGAAGAACAACGATTTGCACGGGAAACAGGGTTCCAGACATTTGGTTCTGGCCCAGGAAACGCAGATTTTACCCAGGGCAGCAACGTGTGGAGAGGGTGTGGACTCCAGGAGGCCAGGTTGGGCCACACCTGTCGAGAAGCAGCACCTGCACCTGAGGGTCAGAGGGGGCTGGTGGCATCCACCTTGTCCAGGGAGAGTTCCACACAGTCAGAATCTCAAGTCCTGGTTTCAGAGAGGAGGGTCCCAATG